TTCCCCAGGTGCCCCATCCCTCATGCTCCTTTTGAAAGAGGTTTGGAGGATCTTGAAAGGTGGCTTTTGTGAAGGGGGTGAATCAGCTGTTGCTTTAGTTTCTAGTTCAGGAATTAGAGGCGACTGGGTAATTCCATCGTAAATGGAATTGGAAATTTTAAAGTTGTTTGGAATGAACATTGAATTCCAGTTACATGTACAGATTTCTTCAGTGAAAACTGTCCTACAGGAAATCTTAGAATAATTAGGGAATAATTAATTGCATTAAAAAAAAAAAAAAGAGTTAAAAATTGTATTATTCCTGGTTAAAGTATTGCTTGTTTTCTGCTATTCGTGCTCTCCAGTGGATAGTTCAAATCTTTCCTAGTGTCAGTTACTGCTCAGCATGGTGCACAAGTACTTAATGATAGACCAGGCAAGCTAGAATTACTCTGCTGGATTTTTTCCTACGTGCAATAGTATCTGGTTTTAGCTGCAAGGTAGAACTCAGTCTGGAAGCTGGGGTGGGGGAAGAGAGAAATGGAAACTTGTAAATTCAGGACAAAGCTAAAACAATGAGGGAAGAGGAATCTCCTGAGGTTTGCTAGGAAATGAAAGTTAAAATCATCTGGTTCCTTCTGCTCTGGAGAAGGTGATTTATATCACTGCTGGTAAGGTTGACAAGTGCAGGCTTTTAAAACAGCAGATTTCCTGAGAGGTCAGGGTGTTTTCTTTATTGTGAAATGGAAGGCAGGAAGAGTTAAAATTAAACCAGAGGGAGAGAAAGAGGACTTTTCCACGGTGGAAAGGTGCACGGGAGCTGGGTAGCAGTGAGCAAGTGTTTCTAGCAGCTTTCTGCTGTGCGTTTCAAATGACTTCTGAGAAGAGGGGCCCTGATTCTGGTTTTCGTGGACAGAGGACCACAAGCGCTGGAGGGGTTTGGATAACTCCTTAGCCAGGATTGTTGTGCAGGGGAGAGGAAGGAAGAGTCTGGGAACAGAGGTTTTCATCTCTCATTGCTCCCATGTGATTGGAGACATCCCAACCCTGTTTGCCTTGCTGGTTGTCCGGCGCTTTCCTTTTCTTGTGCAGAGAGGTTTCTGCATTAAGTCGCATTAAGTTTCAGATTCAGTGTCTGCAAGAAGATGTCTCAGAGAGTCAGGAAATACGTGCATGTGTGCCCAGAAAGAACAATCAAACTCCAGCTGGTGTCCTAAAGCCCTCTTTGGACATTCAGTCTGCTAGGGCTTCACAGGCAAACAGAAAATCCATTGGGATTCAGTTTTTGGTGCCTGGGGATGTGCTTCCATGATTCATTCTGTGTCTGAGCTGCAGATAAACACATTCAGGCTTCTGCATGGAAAAATATCTGGTTCTCTCCTGGCGCTTTTTCAAAAGCTGCGTATTGAAACTCTGTTCCCAGAGGCTGTTTCGTATTCCCTTCTGCCATCTGAACACCACTGCATCCTCTGCTCCCACCACATCGTGGGATGCCCAGAGTCGATGGGCTGTAATCAGTGCGGGCAAGGCACAAAGCGCGTGGGGGTTTTATCATCTTCTGTGGGCACGAGCCTGCGGTCCTGGTTGGGCTTCTCTTAGCAAAACAAGAGAAGGGAAGAAGGGAGGAATAGTTTTGTTCCATATAATGCACATGTGTGCAAAATCCCAGACAGCTTCATCTTGAATTTCTTCATACTGGTGCCTTCTCCAACCCCTGATGTGCAGGTGCTCTTATTATATATTATTGTATATTGTATATCACTGCATTTTCCCGACAGCCCCAACTGTCTGTACTTGCAGTCACTAGTCCTGTGTAAACGCAAGCAGAATTCAGTAGTTGAGGAGAGATTCCAGTATTCAGTCTTAGGCTGTGGATAGAGAGGGGTTTGTGTTTCTGAGTGTCTGTGGACCACCCAGTTTCCTGAGAGCAAGCAGTAAACCTCCCTCAAATCCTGTCTGGGCTCGTTTTGGCATAGGGAATACTTGTATATAGTAGTGGTTTCCTTTGTTTGTGTTTTGATGATGATTATTATTATTATTGCTGAATTAGGGCTACTGAGATAAATATTTAGTTCCTGATGTTTTCTTTTGTGCATAATCAGGTATATCTGAAACAGCACCTTAAACCCCAGCGTTACTGTCTCATTGCTGTCTTTAATAGAAGAAAACAGACGTTTTCAGTACTTGGCAAAGGCACAGGGCTGAGGAGAGAGCTGGCTGGGTGATGGGAAAAATACTCAAATCTTTCTTGAAAAAGTGCCAATGTCTATAATGCATTTTCAGTGAATGACTCAATTGGTTCTATTAAAGGAAAAAATATATTGTTAATTCAGCCTAATATAGTTTTAATCTATTACCAGGCAACTGATAGGCTTGAGCCGCCTCATACTTTGCTTTCTTACTGCTAATTATTGAATAAGATGTTTAATTATTGATTTGATAGCAGTGTAAATCAGGAGTAGTTCCCTTAAGTTTGATGGGCATGCATTGGTTTAAGAGTGAGGAGGATCACGCTTAATGTGATGAGGAAGGAGTTAGGTGCAGGCCAGGCAGAAGGAGGCAGAATTTGGTTTTCCGTCTGAAATGGATCGTGCCTTCATTTGTGTGGACTTGAGCACATTTGCATTTCTCCTCTATGTGTTCAGGCCTAACCTCTAGATTTGCCTTTAATAAAATGCAAAATAGTGTGCTGCAAAATAGATTCTGCTTTGTCTGGACAGAAAGGAATATTAACATATTTATTGACCTTACAGTCATAACGTGATTTTTATTGGCTCTGCAGCTCTTTTGAGACAAAGAAAGTATGTCTAGATTCTGCAGCATAAAGTTTAATTACTAAGGTTTGATACCCCTCAGCCTTGCTGGAAACAGGGGTATCTTTCTTCTGTTGGAAGAATCTGAACAGTGAGCCACTGTCCATGCAGCAGTTAAAATTCAACATCTTTATGTCGCTTTGGAAAACAAAAAAATCATTGTTTTTTAGTATTGGCTTACAAAAGCCTTTCTCAGACTTCAGGCTGCCTCTTTCCCTCTCCACCTCTCATTTAATACGCATGTCCTATGTGTAAATTGAGAAGATGGGTATGCAGGTGTGTGTGTGTATGTGTGTTGAGTAGGGGTGCAGGGAAGGGTGGGATCTTAGATGTATGTACATATAGGGGTCTGATGAGATCTGGGGTATGTACGTAATGCCTGTGTGTGAGCAGGGGCAGCGAGCAACATCATATGTGTACATCGTATCTGAGAAAAAGAGCCTGTAGAATTTGCACAGAGGTGGGGAGGTCACCCCAAGACTTGACTGGTAGATAGAGCATGAGGTCTCCTTCACCTCTCTTGGGACACTCCGGCTCTTATTTCCCCTCTCTTCTCCTTCCCTGTCTCCCTCAGCAAGAGCTGCTGACTGGGGAAGGTCACATCATCCTAGCTGCTGGAAGATTTTAAGGGCACCTTGGATTATGACCTCTCATATTATAACTGAGCCTGACTTGGAGCAGCAGAAAGGGACTAGTTGACCTGTCAAAGGCCCTTCCAACCTCATTTTGTCATCACATAAGTATGGAGGAGGACAAAACCTAAGGAAGAAAAATGTGCTGTAGAAAGTAGCCGATGGGTTGACTCTGCTGGGCGATGAGCAGAGGTGCTGGCAGGAGCCCCTCCACTGAGGGACAAGGGGATACAGCCAGACCGGTGAGGAGCACCAGCCAACTGCAAATAAACGGTTCCATGATCTCAGCAAGGAGGGGAAGAAGGACGTGGGTCATTAGTCAGAGCAGTAAGTCAGGTCAAGGGTAGGAGAGTGTTGCTTTTCTTTATTGAAAGAAAAAAATGAAAAGGAAAAAGCAGTGAATTTCATAATGTGGGAGAAGGGAGGACATTAAGGGGATGAGAATATGGCAAGGGACTGCAAAAATGGAGCAGGGTCATGGCAAAAAGGAAATAATAAAAATCCCTGTTTGACAGAGAGAGGGAAAAGGAAATTATTTCAGAGAAGGAAAACCAGTAGGTTAGGAGATAGGAGAAATATTGCATAAATAAAAGTCTTCCATTTCCAGTAGCTTTATTTTAGCTACAGCATAACATGCAAAATCCTGTGTGTTGAGGCAGGTCAGGACAGGAAACTACCTCTATATTTCATGATGTGGGGCACGGGATTGTCCAAGTGAGACTTGCTTGCCTTTGACAAATAAAGGTGTTTGGGTAAGAGAAACCACGTTGCTGCTGAAGCAGAGAGAGCAAAGGGGCTTCCAGAGCCTACTGGCTGTAGGCAGGATTGATGGGAAGCGTGCATTGGGTGAGCTAAGGGTTGTGGATAGTCCAGCAGACTTCAGAATCAATGTGTTGGACAGCACAACCCAAGTGAGGAAGAGTAAAGCACAGGCAGATGAGGGAGAAGGCTGAGAACAGATCAGTCATCCTTCCTGAAAGACTGGAAGTCACAGAAGGGGTGAGGAACAGGGTGACATGATAAGGGCTTATGTTGAAATAAACCATGTGATGTGACTTAGTGTTAAAAAGGGGGTTTCTAACAGCATCATCATTTCAGTTAATGGCAGCACAAAGTGCTTTGGGTTCTCACCATGACCTGGGCACTTCCCTAGCCCTCTTTTCCACATTATCAGAGTGCCTTATTATCTTTAAGGTAATTATAGCAGTATGGGTGGTAGGGAATTGCTCTTCTGTAGATAGTGAACCAAGGCATAAAGCAGAGGAGTGTCTTGTCTGCAGTTGTGCTACAAATGGAAGTGAGAATTGAAGCCAGGTTTCTTCAATCTTCTACTAGCAGCTTGAACATTGTCTCATCCTCCCTCTGAACTCCTGCCTTGAGCATGAGCCACCCTGAAGTCATACTTTCCATGGAGAAATGAAGTCTTCTGGAGTATTTTGACGATTTGTTTAGCGATGCTATAAAACAGAATTAAGCCACAACAATCTATCTTCTGCTCGATGCAGAGTGACGCTGCAGAAGAGGATAATGTTGGCCAGAGTGGCCTCTCTCTGATTTGCTCTGGTCTGTTTTCCAGATAAACCGTGAAAGCTGGTGTTCGCTGGAGCCATGTCCCGATTCTTCCCTGCTGGAGCGCAAGCGGACACAGGAGTCTCCAGGTGAGCACTGTACCAGTGACAGTCCTGTGGTTCTCCTCACCTTTCCTTTCCTTCCCTTCCTTTTCTTCTTATTTCTGACATCTTTCCCTCAAGGGAGATAATATGTAAACGAAAGAAAATGTGTCACGTATCTGCTGTGAGTCATGGCCTTGCACATGGCTGCAGCACTTGACTTGCAGCGAGCTGTCTGGTGTGTCACCTTCTGACATAATTATGTTATTAAAGTACCTCCATATTTCATCTTTTCTATTAAAAGGTGTGATGGGGTACACAGATGTGGTTTCTAGCTAAAAGGATAACACAGTAAAAGAAAAACAACAGAAGTTTAAACTCCTCAACCCATATTTAGATCCGAATCAGTGACTTGATTTTTTTTGTCCTTCTTTTTTTTCCCCTCTGAAAGTTGCCATCATTTCCAGGCTTCAGGAAGCAGGAAGGCTGTTAAGAGCCATCATTCCCACACCCTGCCCACCAGCCATGCCAAACTCCCAGCCCTGCGAGCTGGCTGGTGCTTTCTGGCTCTTCCACTGGGACAGAAAATCTTGTCTGGGCAAGTTTCAAAGAGGGATTGGTGTCCAAGATAAGGAAAAAAGCATTTCCTGTCATTGAATTATGCATGTTCAAAACAAATGGAGTGAATTATGAGGGCCCTGAATAGGGACTTTGCTTGGAGTGTTCACAGAGAGGACACTTCTTGCCTTGCTTTCATTACGAGCAGGGGTCTCGCCTGAATCTCCTTCGATTTACAGACTTGAAAGAACGTCACTGAGTGTCAGTGTGAAATTCAAACCGAGTCTTTTCAGGGTGTAGGCTAAGAAAGGATGATGCAGGTGACTGACCCGAGGGGTTTATTCTAGGTAGAAATTCTAGCTCCCATCAAAGTTAAAGAACTTTTTTAATTTAAAAATAAATAGTGCTGCTTAGAATATTCATGAAGAATGAGGAGTTGTTCCAAGAGTGTTTTACCAGAGAACCTGTGGAATCACCATACTGCTTCCTAACTGTGTCCCCAAATGTCTTGCCTCATGGTATGATGTTTTTACTCTTCAGGCAAGACTTAGTGTGCTCCATTTGGTTGCAAAATGACATGCACTCATTGACATGCCAGATCCATAATCCTGTATTCATATGGATCAATATCAGTTAGGTACTTATTATCTAATCCAATATCTTACAATAGAAATATAATATTTATTATGTAATCATGTAGCCATCTATACTTATATACATTCATAATTATCCTAATATATGTCTGTAACACAAGCAGAGAGAGGAAGGGTTTTAAAGTTGCTTAATGTGCCCTCCAGTCAGACTGAAGCAGCAGTTCTGCAGGTTCTGGCCTTTCCAGAAATCATGTTGTTACTGCGCATACATCCCTCCAGCTGCAATGTGGTGCTGTGCAATATAGAGGGGGCAAGAAAATCTGGCAGCACCTTACAGCAGTAAAACCACTATCTGTTGTAATATGGCTAACTTAAAACCACACCACTTCCTAGGGAATTGGACCTTTTTCACCTGCTGAATAATCCAGCTGAAGTGGTTGTAAGAACAGAGTCCTCAAATCTCAGAAGTTAACTCCATAAACTGTAGCTTCTCATTTTCTGTCAGTGCTTTTGAAATGAAATGCCTTGGAGGAGTGTAGCAGATACGTAGCTATCAGCATGGAATTGGAGGGCTCACCCCTGCCTTGGAGGATGCAAGGGTTTGGAAAATGCACATAAGAGACTTGCTTGGAAAGTTTCTTCCTGGGGCTTTTTACCATGTAATTTTCTTTTGCCTCTGCGTTACGTGCAGCAGTGTGTTACCATCATCATTTTATTTTCCCTTGCACTTAGAGAGGAGCAGATAAGCACAGTTGTGCTGTAAATGAGCAGGGGTGTATGTGTGATGGGATTCACAGTCCCCGTATCGTGGCAGTGCTGTCACCAGGGCTCACCAGGTCACGGGTGTGGGAGATAGAGCTCAGTATTGTGCAATGCCTGTACAGTTTAAAGCAAAGAAAATAAACCCAACAAGCTAACGGCAAAAAAAGGAGGAGGAAGACCTTCCCCAGGCATCTAGAAATAAAGGAGAGTCGAAGGAAGAGAGGGTTTGGGAATTGATTTCTCAGCATAGACAGGTTGAGGTGTGAGGGTCCCCATCACGCCAGTCCTCATCGTCCTTCCCCACTGCTTCATTTCCTCTGTCCCTCAGAGGCTGATGCAGAAGAGGCTTCTCTGCCTCTTGTGATTTATCATCAGGGTGAGGTATCCGTCCCTTGATGGATCTGGACCATCCCCACTGATTTTCCACTGGAACGTGGCTAGAGCCCCTTTGCTTTTCAGTCTGGGCCATGGAGATGCTGTGCCCGTGCCAGCTGGACAGCCAGCACCTCACAGCCTGCCCTTCTCTTCTTTGCTTTTCCCTTCTGGGTTTTTTTCCCCCTCCCTTTTTCTCTTCCCCCTCCTTTCTCCTCCTCAGTGATGGAAAAGCAGTTCAGATTTTCCAGGTTTACCGAAAGGGGAACAGGCCCGGGGAGCAGCCGTGCTGCCTCCAATAAGTGCTTTTCCAATTCTCCGTGGTGTGGAAACTCCTCTACGGAGTAATGAGGTTTCCGACTGGATTGGCTCCCCTCTGCCCTAGACAGGCGCAGCCCCACTGCCATCAATGAATTCCCATTATTTTCTCCAGAAGCAGAGCTGTTTGATAGCTCCTGTCAGGAGCAGGCTAAGGATGGGGAAGGGAAAAAGGTGACTTCGAGCTACCTGTCATCATTGCATTGATGTCTAAGCTTGATGTCGCCAAGGGTGGAGTTAGGTGTAATTTAAGAGTAAAACCAGCATTTTATTGCCCTGGCTTCTCTCCAGGGAGCTAAGTGTGGTTTGGATCTACTGAGTTAGGGGAGGTTGCAAGATAACACCTCTGTGTTTAAAAAACCACTAATAATTAGAAAATATTTTAAGCTGGGAGAAAAGAATGTTCAGTTATTGCCAAAATTTTCATTAATGCTTTAGCCTGAAGGCTGAACAAATGAAATGACATGCAGGCATTCTTTATGCAAATACCTGTCTGTTAAGGGTTTTGGAGAGGAAAGCCGGTAGTGATTTCTGATCACCTAAATACAGAGAGCTGGAGGCATTTTGGTAAAAAGAGATGCAATGTATTTGTATTTCAATATCAGGAGTTATGAAAGCTGAGAATTAAAACCAAAACCACTTCATTTTTGAATCTTAAGAAAGGAAAGCTTGTCATGGAAGTCATATTAGTGATTTTTCAGTGACAATTATAGAAGGAGGAATGAAATAATCATCCCAATATGCATTTAAAGCACCTTGGCATTGAGAGGAAATTGATTCTTTAATTGAGAAAGAAAGCAAATAGCAAGTTATATTTCTGCCTTTATTGAATATGACTAACTTTGCACTTGTTGCAGTCGATGAGAAACATCCTGTCATTTTCAGTGTGGGGTACCTGATGTATAGCATATTTATTAGCACCTCAAGGAACAAGCATGTCTGACTGTTTAGTGCAGAATCTTTGTTTCCACCATGTACTTCAATGATGCATTACAAAGGAGTTTTAAACTCTTGAATTAATTATTAGCAAATTGCAGGCACGGTTTGGGGAGGTGAACGTTATAAAGCTGTGTTTGCTGTTGGGTTTAAATCCTTGAATTTACAGAGAGCGTGTGAGTTGGATGTACAGATGCTATAGAAAGCATCAGCTTGTAACTCTTTCTGCTTTGCTCCTATAGAATGTGAGAACTTCTTGGAGGATGGGCTGAGTAGCGTCTGTGCCTCGTCACAAGGTGTTCTTAAGAGAGAGTCTGGAAGCGAGTCTGACCTCTTCCCCTTGCCTGGTGATGGGATGGAAGACCTTGTCTTTGGAAAGGTAGGAAGGCCTGGTTGGGGTATGGTTAAAAAAACTCCAAGGCCTGATTCAGTAAACCTATACTGCAGGTGCAGATTGTCTCGGTGAGCTGGAAACCTGGAAGCAATTATCCTAGAATGTATAGATAGGAAGGATCTGGTCCCCTCTTCGGATGCAGCAACACAGGGGTGGTTTTAGTTGCAGCAGAATTCCAGAAATCCTGCAGCCCCCAGTGTGAAAAAGATAAAAGTAAATTTTGACTGTCCAAAAGTAAATCAGGCGCTAGGGGAACTAGAAGAAAAGGTGGATTGTCTCGCAAGGTCATTAATGATTGGATAGATGATATGAAAGCCATCTTTAACTCCTGTAACAAAGAGCTTTTCTCAGGCAAACGATGACCTCTGTGCTGACACCTTCAGATTATATACTGTAATTCTCAGAGGAACCAGTGTTCTCCTGTAAATTCAGCGTGACTCCCTGGATAGGAAGGAAACAATCTAAATACTGAAGGCAAATTCCGGTGAATAGTTTTGTTGCCGGGGTGACATACCTCTAATGCCTTTTTGCATGCAAGTAAACGTTTTCAGGTTTGCTTAAAATCAACAGCAGAAGTCATTACTAACTGTAGTCATGCCTGTGCCCTTTGTGTTGCTCGCAGCTGAGAAGGGGAGGGAGGAGTGGGTGAGTCCTGCTATCCTCCTGAGCAGGGGATGCCACCCTGTAGCATCAGTCTTCTGCTGGTTGCATCAGAGCAGCCTGAATTTATTCAGTGGGGTTCTGTTTTGCTTCTTAAGAATCATCTTGCTGCTAATTTGTATTCTTCTTGACATGAGTAGATTATGAAAAAACACCCAAAAAGAATATAGTGATGCAGAATCAAAGGGGACATGAACCTTCTTTAGAGCAACCATCACCATTGGTCTCCACTCCATGAAATCATAGAATCATAAATCCCATGCGTAGGTTCAGCTCCAGCATGGTTCCTGCTCTGAAAACCTAAACTTTCAGAGTGGGTTTCACACTTGTTTTCAGACAAGTACATTTAACAGAACAGAATTCTGTTTGTTTAAATCGAATCAGATGATGGGGAATATTTTCCAGCGGAATGGGAAACACCACAGCCCAGGCTAAGTGATCTCATGGGCTATAAATGAACAGTATAGTCATCCTTAATGCATGTGGTAGGGCACAGAACTCACCAGCCTCACCCTTTCCCATCTTACCCTCAAAGTGATGTGGGACCCTGTATTGTGAGACTGTAAGGCTGCTTGGGAGAGCACAGACTGTCTTCAATTTCCTTGTGTAGAGTGGCACGAATTACAGCAGCTGACTGCCATTTGAGCCTGAATTTAATGCTTCTGTGGGGATGCGTGGGAGAAGAGAGCTGTGGGAACGCAGTGCATTTTATAGTGTACAGAATTCCACCTTTTCCCTCCATTATGGGGAAAGCTTTGTTCTCCAAAGGCTAGAAAGGAAAATCACAGGTTAAAAAGGATAGTGCAGTGTAGTAGGGATGCTGCAGGGAAAGGAGGTCGTGGTGAGGAAAGCAGGTCTTCAATTGCCAGTGGGCAGAGGGAGGAAATCATTTTCTTTATAGAAAGGGAATTTGTTAATTTGGCAGCATTTGCATTGCAGTGGATTGCAGACTTCAGCTTCAAGTGGGTTCAGGAGGTTCTTGTGTTGAGTTTAGGAAGTTATTCAAAGCTAATCTCAACTTCAGTTGCTTTTTCTTGTCTTGCTTTGCTGACTAACCCGATTCCTTGTCTCCTTTCTCAGAATTCATCTGAGTACCTTTTCTACAGTTAGTTCTCAAAGGACCAGAGACACTAGTTTAGTGTAGTGAGCTCTTTTTTGCTCATTACATTTTGCTCATTAAGATGAATCTTAATTCCTCTTTTGTTTTTAGATGACTGAGCCCAGCTGGTAGAAATGCAAGTTATAACTATTCTTAATAACCACTAAAATAAATGCTGGATGTAAGCTTACTTCTGAAAGATATTAAAAGATGCATGTCTGGGTTGTAGTGGGTTAGTTATAAGCCTGTGAATTAGTACAATTTTCATACCAAATTGCGAAGTGAAGAGAACGTGGTTTTGAACAAAAAGAGGATCTCAAACCTTTCAGTGTCATGCTGGTTATTGTTATTGCTAGTCCTGTTCTTGTTTCCATTTTGTATGGAACAAGAGTTGAACCTTTCATCTATTAAAGTTGGCTTTTATCGTATAAATCGCTTCTCTGTTAACTGCATAATAGATTAGGAGGAACGTGCCATTGTTTGCCCAGGGTCTTTAGGGTGCTTCCATAAACATTACTTGGAATTCAGAGATTCTAAGCCCTGGTTCTGTCCCAGGACCATTAAGGATCTGGGGTGTTGGGGTCACAAAATCTGCAGGTGCCTTAAGCTGTCCCTTGTGTTAGGCATGTGCTCTTCTCCTTACCATCTCCTTGCCATCTCCTGTGCTTGTCTGTCCTGTTTCCTTTCTCTGAAGGACATGAGCTGAGCTGCATAACGAGAGCTGCTGGGTTCAGTGAGCTTTCGCACTAAAACCTGACTTAGTTTTTCAGGCTTCAGAGGCTGTCACTGAAATACAGAAATCGCTTCCAATGTGAGGTCTTCGGCAAGAAGGTTTCTTTTCTTGCGTCAGTGCTTTATCCCCTTTTCCTCATCCTCCTGCTTTTCTTCTCCATCTGGGCAGCCTTTGCAACACCCTCCTTCTGGAATGATTAATGCTGCATAAGGTCATTTCTCACAGTCATCTGGCAGCATCCTGGGGTGTAGCCCATACGCTTTGCTCATCTTAACTTTTAACCTGCCGCTGAAATTCAGCGTTACTGGGAAGTTTTTCAATGTGCCTCTTGGGGAATGATTCAGACAAACGGCCCTCGGGAAGTCAGGAGCCCAAAGATCATTGCCAAAGAAAGGGGTTGCAGCTTGACCCCTTGAATGCTGTTTGATTTCTGCCTTTGTTTTGGTTTGCTCAAGGAAATACACAAAGACAGAAATATTTCGCATTTAGTTTTGTCAGAATTATTGTTTCTCTTTAAAAAGCCAAACAAAAAGCCCAGCATCCATGCAAAAATACCAGACCCAAAGGAATAAAAGTTTGAAGAGAGTTTCCCTTTCACCAAGGGAAGACTCTTGCAATCCAGATCACAAAAATGATGATAAGTAATTAATAGAAGGCCACTGTTGAGATTAATTTTAGGGAGCCTGGAGCCATAGACGAATGAATTAAAAAATTACTGTGCTAGATTATGTATCAGAGAATCATAGAATGGTTTAAGTTGGAAAGGACCTTAAGATCATCCATTTCTAACCCCCTGCTATGGGCAGGGATGCCTCACACTAAGACCATGTCACCTAAGGCTCTGTCCATCCTGGCCTTGAACACTGCCAGGGATGGAGCATTCACAGCTTCCTTGGGCAACCCATTCCAGTGCCTCACCACCCTCACAGGAAAGAACTTCTTCCTTATATCTAATCTGAATTTCCCCTGTTTAAGTTTTAACCCATTACCTCTTGTCCTATCACTACATTCAACCCAAGCAAAGCTGTTGACTCCATTAGTGTAATGGGATGACAAATAAACCTCAGGATGTCAGTGTTTAATTTTTTTCTCCCTTTCTTTAAATACCGTACCACCTCTGATGTCTTTGTCACATGGGAGACCATGGGATGGAGTAAATTTGTGTCTCAGCTTTTCAATGTTGTCATCATGAAAATGAGTGAAAGAACGTTTTAATTCCACTTATCAAGGCCTCCTACAGAGGGAGGGATTTAGCTGGAGTTATCTTATACCCCCGCCATCCCAGTGATTTCACTTATCCCTATTCTTGAACAAGTACAAATGTTCTTTCTCAGAAAACTCACTTTTTATGCCTTATTTCATTTCTTCTTAGTAGTTTGTCACCAACTATTGTTTCTGAGAGCAAAGCAAATGCCCATTAGCACATGCTGTAAAGGTTCTTGTCCATGAGTTTTATGGTCACAGTTAAGGACTGAATTCATTGAAGTGCAATGCAGCAAGCCTAACTTGAAGAAAATATTTCTGTAATGTTTCTTTTTTCCTGTATGAAAAGAACACATTAGAGAACCATTTCCATTCTGCAAACAGGGTATTTTCTTACTCAAATAGGATTAAAAGAGCAGCGCATATTTACTGGCACTTGGCCAGGTAGCTAATTTCTTGCAGAGGTGGCTGCAATATAGATGTTTCTTAGATGTGTCAGTCACACTTGGCATTGTGCAGACAGAGTTCTGGGCTTTAACTGTTAAAAACCAGGATTAACTATTTTGCTTTGTTTCAAACAAAAACCCCAAACCTGAAAAATCATGTAACTGAAGACAGAATATATTTAGAGGAATAGACATGGGCCACAAGTTCAAGGGAATTGTTCACTGTGTTCTGCAGTCAGTCTGGTACTCGAGGTAAAAGTTAAAATGGACCAAACATATTTCACATTTCTAATTACATCTCTTTTAACTGCGCTTTACAATAGAAAGCTTAAATCTTCCCTGCTAGGGAAGCAGGTTTTGTTCTGCATTTTAAACTGGAGCCGTATTCTCATGTGGGAAATAAAAATCCCTCTTTTTTCCTCTTAATTCCTCCCTATAGAATTTGACGTTTTGCACTCCTGTTGCTAGATTTGCATCCAAGTTTAATGTTTCCAAACTCTCCCATCCTTCCACTGTACAGCTGGTGGGTAGTCCTCTCTCCTCCTGCTGTGCTGCCCTCATGTGTAGCAGGATTTTCCTGTGTTTCAGAAAGTGAAGCAGACTGTTTCCTCTGCTGTTATCCAAATAATGACTACTTAATCTGTCTGGATTTAAGCAATTCAGTAAGTGCTCATCATGACTCACATAAATATCAGATTATCTTGAATAACACTAAACATCATCAAAAATTTTACAGGGCATCCGTTTCAGCTCGTTCTTGTTTTAATCTACTCTTCCTATTCAAATGTGTGTCAGATCCAATACTTTACAGTATAAGTGCACTATGAAAGTATTTACACAAATTGATAATTAATATTTGACGTTCTTACCATGATATGAGTGCTTTTGGAGGGATATGTTGCAGTATTTTGTGTTTAAAAGGTAGATTATACTTTGGTACTGTGCTGTTGGTGCTGGGGTTTTTCTTTTCATTTTTCCTTTGGTGGATGGGAGAAAGGAAATAGTGTGACAGCATTTATTTAAACCACCTTATGGACATGATTGTGTACCTGTTCAACTGAAATAAGAATAAAAAATAGCCAAACTTGAAACAGGGATTTATATTTGAAGTATTAGATTAGAATAGTTTTTGAACATCTTTTCATTCAGTGTAACAAAAAAGCTTTTAGTTTATCATGTGTTTCCAGCAGAAAAGGCACAGAAAAGCAAAACTATCTGGAGCATTTAACACTACTGAGCCTGAACGAAGCCATAGCAACAGGCTCCGAGGTGAGGATGCCGTGGGGCAGCATCACTCTTGTGCCTCCAGCCCTGTGTGGGTTTGGATGTCCATCTGTCCCTTCAGAACTGGATTTGGTAGCCCACTATCTTATGCCAGAGGAGAGCTGAAAGCCTGCAGCTCCCTAAGCACTCAGCTTCTGCTGAGACCCACTGAGCCTGCTATTTGAAAACAATTAACTGCTGTGGCTTTGCTGAATAGTCTATTATATGTGGTCTGACGGATCATTCTCCCTATTATTATTTTAAATGATAGAGTGCAGGGCTCTGCAGGAGCATAAGTTGGAACTTCCCATGTCAGTCCCTTGAGGCAAACACCATTTCAGACTGAAGGTGATGTCAGAGAGGGGCTTGTGTTTTTTCATGCTGGCCATGTGGAACACAGAGTGTGCACAGGCTCTTCTCGGGCTGTATGGTCAGCATATGGCCTTTGGCCAGAGGGAACCAGTTTGGCTTCCACTTACTGCTTTTGGAGCAAACTAAACCAGCAAATGGCAGTATGACTTGAGACATGTAATACACAGTGGCTGAGCCTCTGGAACAACAATTCCAGTTGGAATTGAAAAATGCTGCAAACCCTGGCATTAACTTCCTGCTTAATGGAAAGTAGTGAAGGACAGAGATTAAAGCTTTTAGGGCTTTTTTTCCTGTCTGTTTTCTACTGCTGAATAATTGTCCCTTTTGTGCTGTGTGATGTAGTGGGACAGTACGTTGCCTTTGAGCTCTCGTGGCTGAGAGTTACCGACTCATCCCAGGTACCACAGGAGAGGCTGGAGTTTGTCATCAGGAGTCATGATGACCCAGTTCCCCATTACCTCTGGCGGTTTGGTACCGCCTTGACAATAACAGGTTTAGCCAGAAATGGACAGAAAGGCACAAAAATTGCTGTGTAGGATGGCATATAGAACTGGGGAGAAAGGCAGGCAGAGGATCCAAGCTGGGAGTGCAGGGTTATGGCAGCCAGGGACTCGAGGGCTGAAAGATTGCTCTGCAAAGCATTTCATCCCCTTCTGAAACCAGAGCAAAACATCTCACTTCTGTGATGGTTAATTTGCCTCGTGCTATCAATTAGAAAATAGCTCAGCTCATGTGAAATAGAAAATGTTTTAATTCATTTAACATGTTAAATGTGTTCACTTTATTGGAACTATTCAAGGTTGGATTGGACAGGGCTTTGAGCAACCTGATCTAACAAGTGATGTCCAGGCCCACGGCAAGAGGATTAGACTAGATAACGTTGAAAGGTCCCTTCCAACTTAAACCAGTCTGTGATTCTACTTCACTTTTTCTCTTCCACAGCAGCCTGAAGAGGAGCACTCTGCATGCGATGTCACCAGCTCCAGTTCCTCTGCGGATGACACCATGTCCCTGGAGAGGAACTCATCCCTGGGCAGCGACACATCCCTTCCTTTCCCACCAATGGGGAACTTTGTCCAGCCCAAGGACAGGCATAGCCTGGATGGCAGCTGCACTAACATGGTGGCCACAGAGGGAGGAGAGAAGGAAGAGGAGCTGGACAGTATCACAGATGTGCCCACTCATTCCTCCGTCTTAAGAAACTCCATGCGACCACTGTCACCTTTCCGTCGACACAGCTGGGGGCCAGGGAAGAACGCCACCAATGAAGCAGAAATAAATCAGAGGAGGTGAGTGAAGGGCTGCTTTGGTTTACTTTGCACCCACCCATAGGTATTTATCAAAGCTTTAGACTCAGCATGATAAAACAGAAAACTGAGGATGTCATTTCTGATTATTTCTTTATCACTCAAAGGGGTGAAGGCAGTCTCCTAACCTATGTTTGTATGTTTTCTTTAAATTAACTTTCAGGATTAAAGTACTTAATGCCTACAGTATGCTTGAGCTTTTCAGATAAAATGGAATTACCCTGGGACAAGTCTTCCCTTTGAACTGTCACTACCCCTTTCTTTAGGAAGGGCTTTGTTAAAGGAATTATTGGAGTGTTAAATCTCATTGATCACAAAATAAACACAACCCTGATTACTCCGATTGTATTAAGAGATAGCACAGGCACCAGTGTTGTATAAATGAGGTGTGGAGGCTTCTCATAGTGGTGAGATGGGTGGTCCCTGTTTCACAGAACTGGTCCACCTTAGAGTCTCTTGAACAGTAAGTGTCACCTAACCCATCACTGGTGTCCCCAGTGGTGGTCAGGAAGATTCAGAAGGGAAGTTCCTCCATTTGTTCTTTCAGAAGATAGGAAGGAAAGGTGCAACAGCCACTTGAGTGTGTAGATGACACTGACTGTGTGGGGAAAAGTGACTGTGGAGAGAAAAGGTGCCATCTCAGCAGGGAAGAGGAAGTGAAGCAAGATGCACACCAATAGAGTAGTTGGTATAAGGTTCCCTGCCATAGTTTGCACCATTCAGCATCTGGGCTGATGGATGTTTGACATTAAACCCTGCCTGTTTGGAAACCAGTGGAGGTTTGGCCAGTGTTTTTACTGCGTTGCAGTGCTTTTAGAGCAGGATGGGCAGTTGTTTCAGCAGGGTCAGGGTGCCACATCCTCCTGTCCCTCTGGTGTAGACCTGTAGCTTAGAGGGGCTGCAAGCCGAGGTGTGCAGTGCAGTGCCACTCTCCAGGCTGCCTGCTGTTGTCTTTATAGCCATGGCTCCGCTTCTGAGATAAGTGGAGCTGTTGCATTTGGTGATGTATTGAGTTAAAACTGCCCATTTGCAACGGATTCCTAATAAATTGTTACTGACCCATTTGGGAAGTCCTGTGCGAGGCAGTAGCCTCCCATCAGACATGTGCATCCTTCACGTGTTAGGAGCTGTGGGTATTACTAAAGGAATATCATAGACCCTTCAGATTTTAAAGCCAATGGTGAGAAATATTCAGGACCCTCTAACATAGGGTGAAAGATTTATTATCACTATTATTGTTGTTGTTTACCACTGCCACCTTTTTTTGGCTTCATTCCTAGTCCCCAGGTAATATTTAAACACATAAAGTCCTACCTTTCTTTTTAAAGCTACAAAAGAGTCAGCAGAAGTATACATGCAGGTTTGTGATAGGATGAGTCCGTAAGCTCGTAAACTCATTTGGAGAGATTTAAGTGTGGGCCCTGTTTTGTACAGATTTCTGAGGGTAATAAACTGCATAGCTGGCAATTACTGCTAACAGTTAACAGCTGGGTTAAACTCTCCTGTGTCAGACTTTGAGGCTGTTCCCAATATGGGAAGATACATTCATTGTAAGTGTAAGAAGTTAAAGGAAGAGTAATTGTTCTCATATGCTCTTAGATGCAGCTGCTGCTACATAAGGATGGCTGTCACAGGTTAATTCAAAACGAAAAGCTGGGTGGGTCTCTGGTGCTGATTTGGTTCCTGTTTGGTTTTGTTTCTGTTACAAAAGAATTTGGGTTGGCTGGGGGGGGGGTGTGTTCTTTTTATACGTGGCTGTTGTGATATGATTCTGGTTGCTTAGCGAGCAGCAACAAATACTGGGGAACTGAAGCCCAAACAAGCGCCTTTCATACAAATCAGTTAGATTCGGGGTGTTTGCTTATTCATTAATTTCACATGCAGTAGATAGTTTTCCATTTAAAGGAGAAATCCCATCATTGTAACTTGACTTTAATAAACCTTTAAAGTGAAGTAATACGGAGCACAAGGCTTAGCAAAGGTTTGTCCTGCTGATGGACAGGACTGTGCTGCTCCCACCACCTGCCACCTTTTGTCCATACTCCCTCTCATCCTCTGGGCACCCGTGGCGAATTCTTTGCACCCTAAGTGAGCAGGTTGTACTCACTGAATGAGTAGAAAGTTAACTAAATAAAGTGTAATTGCCACCAAATCCAACCCAAGGATTAGAACTGGGCTGCACAGCCAGGAAGAGGAATGGGGTGGCAGCTCTAAGAAGTGCCTTCTGCCCTAGCAAAGACTTGGTCCAGCCCCCATCCACACCAATTATAGTTTTTCCCCTATGGCAAAGGCAACTAAGTCAGGCTTAAATGGAGCTGCTGATACAGGACTCAACCTATGGAAAAAGAAAATCAGTCTTTTGTAGGATTTGGTCTTTTCCATTGTTGTGTGTTTTATGTTTGTAAGAGGGATGAGCATAAATGTTCACAGAAAAGATCAGAACAAATGTAATCATCTTGAAATGTGAAAACACGCTCAGTTCCCCTCCGCTTCCCCCTTCTCTTCAAATGCACTTCGCGGATAATCCTCGTGTCTACATTTTGCTATTGAAGATACAAAGAAACCTAACAGGACTGCCACAAAAGGATGTTCATCCTTCAGTTAATTCCTGACATTCACAGCGGATTTGCAATGCCTGTCTTTCAACAATGATGCAGTGTTTTTGTGGTTGGTTCTGAGGAAAGAGATGCTGGCATTTTTCACTGATGGATTAAGCTCTGCAGAACTGGAGCTGGTGTTAAGCGTGGTTGTGAACAGCTTCTGTCAAATACTCGTCCTTATCTCAACTTTAAACCGACCTGGCTTTGGCAGCAGTTAAATTGCAGTAGGGTCGATACCTGTGAAACCTCCTTTCTGTACAAAAAAAAAACCAACCAAACCCTAGATTTATTTGTAAAAGAGAGAGGAAGAAAAACTCATTATTCCCTTTAGTATCTGATTTCGTTTTCCCTGTGCATCCATTCCCTCTGCTGTTTGTGTGTTGGAGATATTATTCCTTCAGCTGTCGTGTGTTCATTTTTTTCCATTCAAGCTGCTGACCACTCTCCATGATTCATTTTCAGTTCAATGCGAGTTCTGGGGGATGGTATAAAGAAGCCTCCCATTCATAGGAGAAGGTACAAAGCCAATTAACGTGACTAACTGTTTCATGTACGAATGTCTACTAACTCCATAGTAAACCTGTAGTAGTACCCCTGGAAGCGTTGGCGTTAGAGCTGTGCATCCCTCTTGGTTGCTTTCCCTCTCCAGTCTGACCCAGGGCAGCATTTCTGACCCACAGAGCAAATGCTCAAGCCATTTTCCCCAGGATATGTTATGTTAATAATGTGGAGAAATCTTAGACATCATTTTGTTGGCCTTTGCCATGTGTAAGATTTGGAGTTGTGTTAAAATAATCATTTACTTACAAGTATTACCTGGGTGTAATTCAGATTTAAAGCATATCAGAGACTCCTGCCAAGACTTGCGGGAGGGTTCCCTTGGGAGGGGATGCATCAGGCACGATCTCCGAGTTGGAGAACACTCTGCAGATCTGAAGCTGCTTGAATTAAATGGCTTTAATTTTGCTCTTTTGCTGGTTTTGGGGAATTCAGAGATTTTTTTTATAACCATCTTTCACATTTACTTCCATTTGTGTTTTTCTTCTGCATAGCACACTTTCAGTTTCTCGTCCGTCACACAGATATGCAGTTTCACTCACGTAACCTTTGTGGTGTTCATTAACATATACAATAGGACATTTAATTTTGACATAGCAGACACATGGGCCATCCACACTTACACATTTTTAGGCTAAAAAAAGAGAAGTTTAACCTCTTCCCTTCAGTGGTTCAACCTCTTCTCATCTCCCCCATCTTCTACCTCTGCTCCTGGAGCACGTTAACTCAGGATTTCACTTCCCATGAAAGGGATGGGGTTATGTGTATGCATAAACAAACTACCATATTTCCACATATGGAAAAGTTGTTGCCATTATGTTATTACCAAAGAAATCACTGGGTCTCACCATGCATCAGCATAAATGAAGCCGTATGAGCAGTGCTGTACAGTTCAGGAAAGGGCTCTTAAAAAAAAAAAAAGTTTAAAAAAAGCACAAGAAATAGCATCCTTTTTTACTTCTATGAAGCCACTTTATTTGCATCACTCCGTGCTCTGGAGGAAGTGCTCTTGTTCTCACCTCATGCAGATGAACATCTTTTTACCCGTTGCCTTTTCAGGCTCCTCTGTAGGAGCTGTGTTAGTACTCAGAGTCGTCATATCTTGAAACACTGAGCTTACAGTCTTACACAGGCAACCTAAAATACCTCATCATATCTGAAATGTGTGGTAATTCTTTCATAGCATCCTCTCTATTTTTCTGGCCTCCCAACTGTTTTGGTATAATCCTCTTTAACCCCAGTTGCAGAGCAACAGCCTGAAAGGAATTCCAACAGTTTATGCTCTCCCACAAGGCTGACGTATGTAATAGCTCATCCACCCCTCCACAAGTGATCTCCTGTAAAGGGGGTTTTTTGCATGCCCTGATTGATGGTTTAGTTGGATGATGATGAAGTACTTGGAAATACTGGCATGTCACAGGAAGGTACGTCTTCATCAAGAAGGCTTGTGGTACTGTGCTGAGAGCTATTGGTGCAGCACACCTGGAGCTTTGGGGTGCAAAGCACAGGTACTTCAGGTGCATCCTCACCCAGTTAACATCCTTAACAAAGCAGGTAGCAATTATCTGAATCCCACTGTTGAAAACAAACTGTTAAACCCTTCCTGAATGTTTCCAGTGTTGGACTTTGAGTGGAAACTGTATGAGGACTTGGTATGAGGTGATGCAGTCAGTGGCTTTAAACCTTCCTCTGTGCCCTCTGAGGCTTCGGGCATTCACAAGTTGTGGCCATGGGGTGCTTATGCTTGTTCTTCCCTTTTCATAGGCTCCTGCCCATGTGGATTGCAGGCCAGGGGCTGGGAGCAGGACTTGTGCAGTGCTGCTCTGGTAGATACGTGCTGATGCAAAATTCCCTTCAGACAACATATGTTTCCTGGATAGCTTTTCCAGGATTTAGGGATCCTTTATATGTGATAGCTGACAAGAAGATTGATTTATCCATGTCTGCGAGACCTGCAATTGGGCCACAAACTGGCAAAGGGAAAAAAAAATAACAAAAGCAGTATTTAAATTAACCACCAAACTATTTGCATCCTATATTTACATTTCTGGTATCTTTCAAGATGCAACTTGGGATTCTTTGGGGTGTGGGTGCTGAAAGGTTTCCTAGTCAAAGTACTATTTGAGGACTTGATTTAATCCCAAGCTAGCAGGAAGACAAGCCTGTTTTTTTTCTTCTTGCACATATCTGCTGTGTAGCACTTAAGAATGTAGCTCTCTCCTTATTTTTCCCTAGTGTAGCCTCAGGTTATTAATACTTGTATGGAGGGGACTTGATTAAATCTATCTAAGGGATTCTTTCTCTGATCTGGGGATGACAGGTCCCAGAAGAATGCTAATCATTACTAACACAATGGATGCATGCGATTACTTTTGCAAAATTGGTTTGGGTGCATTTCAGCCTTGTTTTCCCCCAAAACTTCTCTCCCCACAAGGAGCAGTTTCTCCGGTAGATTGTATCTTCACTGAGGGAGTCAGTTTGGGGGAAGCATGGGCTGGCCTGCTACCCAGTTGGTGGTAACCTTGGTCATTTGGGGCACACTGGTGTGTTGTGGCAGCCAGAAATATGTCCTAGTTTCTGCATTATTTATGAGTTTGGGTTTTTTTAAGATATGCAAGAGTGAGAGTCTTTTAACACTCCCCTATTCCATAGCAATCCAATAATCACAGCCCTTTTCCTTTCTTTGCCTCTTTTGATGTTCCTAGTTTGAGCTGGTGTCCCTCTGGCGTACAGTTCATTGCCATGGGTCCTGACTTTACTTGTAGAAGGTACAGTATAAATCAATGTGCAGCAGCAGCAAAGGAGCACTGCAAACACCCTGCCGTCAGCTTTGCGTGCGTCGCCTTTTCCACTGCTGCTCTGGCTGAAGCGTGCACGTGTTTGTTTGCTTCGTCTGCTTTTCCGGCACTTAGACCTGGGAATGGGTCTTTGGAACTGGGCTGCAGGTGAAGGTGGTGGCTGCTTTTTGTTGGCCTCGAGCATTAAAGAAGCTGCATTGTTGGTTTGAGCTGCTCTGTTCCGTGATGATTTTAAGGCATGTTTTTTTTTCCACAGCAATGATCATAATGATAATGGTGACAGCCAAAGAATCAAAAGAAGAGTTAATGTGATTCAGTGCCGCTTTGTTCTGGATGGATCTCATAAAGGATTTGAGTTCATACAGACTTGCTCTTTGTAAATTGAAAGATCCAGTTTTTTCTTCAAAGAGGCTCATCATGTAAATCTTGCTGTGAAAACCCAATCTCACAGCCACAGATGACAATTTCTCTTCTGTAGAAAGTCCCTGAGCTGAGATTGGTGCTTGCAAGTCAGATCTCCATCTGATGCTGCCTGGAAGCCAGCGTCCCAGATTTCATAGCTTTATAGCTTTCCTCTGGCAGTTCTTGCTGGCTGTGGGTAGAGCTATTATTAAAGTCTTTTTCTGAAGACTAGATATTAAGAAATTAATCTGTCCCTATTACATATTTAATTATGTTTGATCTGTATATACAAGTTACAGATCAGTATCACCCACTGACAACTATTTTAATGGCTGATATTTGCAGTTTCGAGCTGTTTGTGTCACAACAAACAGCATGATGGTTTTTCTGTACTGTGTAACATCGCTGTTAACATCTTGGGTTGCAAGGAAAATAATACTCTTCTGCCATAAATAATAAGTAGAAATGGGACTGACTTCTCTCTGCAGGTGTTTTAGAATAAACTTTATAATGCCTGCTATTGATATACATTGTTGAGTCAAAATCTTCTTTACAGTTTAATCTGCTAAAGCAGATTAAATTGTAAATGCCTCAACTAGTTTTCTTTCTCTCTAATTACCATGAAAAAATTACTAAATCTTCTTATTCAAGGTTTATTGCAATTTTTGCATAGATGATCAGCCACTTGATGCTTCTAAAGGAATCCAGAACATTAATCACCACTATGCAAGTCTACCTGAAGTTAAAGCTCTTTTGTTTTTTTTTAAATAATCTGTACAGTTTATAGTGTTTTTTCCCTTTCATTTGTTTAAATGCCAGGTTGTTGGCCACTGAGATGTCATGGTTAGCCTCAGGTGGAGATATATATCCAGGTTAGGTCTTGCTTCAAACGAGCAGGACTTTGGGAGCATCAAATCAAACATTAGCCATGGAGCTGTGCTAGTGTGCCAGGAGGTGTATCTGTGACACTTGCTCTTTAATCCAGACTGGCATTGCAGTGGGCTTATTAGTGCTTGGGGATAAGGAGCAGAAGGGGTAGAAGCGAAGATAATGTCAAGAAGATATATCAAATTGAAATAGCCATGTGCGAAAGAGGGGGTGTTTTGTGTGGGTGAGAAGAGAATATATTAACCTCTTTCTGTAGAGGTTGCTTGTCTAGCAGCAGAAAGAAACCAGCTTTGGCAGAAAGAAGGACATTGTCAGCGCCAAAGCTTTGTGCAGTGGCAAGCGCTAAACAGATCTGGAGGATGTGTCTGCAGAGGTGAACGTTGGGTGCTGGTCCAGGACAGGCAGCACCATGCTAATACAAGGTAGTTTAATTTGAGTGACTTTATTCCAAGGGAGAGCCTAGTAAAAGCTAGTTAAGAGACTATGTGGAACTACAGAAATCTTAAGGTGTTTCTAGATTTTCCTGTGCTCCAGAAGGTGAAAAGAACCAGTAGGAAGGGCTGCTGACCACACGAGTATGAACAGTTGTTCAAGCAACTATTGTGTCTTATTAGAGGTGCAAAGATGTTGCTGTTTGGTCTGAAAACCAGGAACCCCTCCACTGCTGTCTGCGCCTGGTCATTAAAAAAGTAACATGCTGAGGAATAAAATCAGCGTATCCCTGCACAGTTCAGTTAGCGACTGCCTTGTGTTCTATGCTTGAAGGTGCTGAAAGACACTGGTACCTAAGAGTATGTCAGCATCTAACCACCATGCTTTCTCTTCAGTTACAGCCTAGAAGGCCTTGCTGGAGACTCTGGTGAGAGCAAGAAGCCCTCTACAAACCTGGAGGCAGCTTCTCTGAGCTCCAAAGACCTCAGACGGAGTCCGCTTGCTAGCAACCAGTGTGGGTCCCTGGTCTTGCTCACTGAAGAGCTCGAGCAAGGAGAAATGAGAGAATACGATCACCAGGTAAGGCTGTCTAGCTATTGCTGGATATCTAGATAAAACAACCTCAAGTTTTCCCAAGTGAAGGCTTCCATCCTATATATATATATAGTATTAAAATTTTCCATCTCTAACATGGAAGAATTTCCACTGTGTTAAATTTGCTGCTTGGTTCTCTGGGGCAGCATGGTTGATGGGCAAAAGTCTTAGGGTTTTCTTCCCCTGATTGCATGAATAATTGTGGAAAAGTTATGAACATTTTAGTATAGATGTAGGGATACCATCAATCAGAGGTGTTGTAAGGCTACAGCAATTAATGCTTACACTCCCTTTTGCAGTCCTGAAATGCACATGGACTACCAAGTAGTAATTTGTCTGCTGAAGTTTTCAGGTTTATTTTCATAGTGTAGGAGGAAAATAAAGATTTTTATTTTTTTTCCTTTCAGAGTCATAACCAAAATCAAAAGGCCCATTAGAATAAGCAACAGTTAAGCAAAATTTTAATTGTGTATTAAGAATATTAAGAGTGGTCTTTCTGGAGTGGAAGTCTGTGATAGTTATAGGTGTGCCACAGTACTATGAGAGTCTCTGCTTTTTATATTAATGAAACAATTACAGTCTTAAACACTATAAATACCCTGCATTTCTGAGTTTGAAGTTTCAGCCATAGTATTTTCTGGGCTCATGCCAGAATCATTAGCCAGCCAGGCCGTTTACCTCATAAAATCACTGCTGTACATCAAGGCAGTGAACAGGTCCTACAAGATCCAGCCTGTAGAGCTATCATGTCATGACTTTCATGTGTTCTCTTGCTTTGAGGAATGGCTTTTTTGGAGAACACACAGCTAAGCATCAGATTTGTTACCACAATCCAGTTATACTGAGGAACTGGAATCACAGCAGTAATTCTAGCAGCCGTCGGACAGTTAACGATATCCATCTTGTAATACCTTGCAAGAAGATCAAGCAGCCAGAGGCTCACCATTTCTTGCATAAATAGTTATCTTACACTTAAAATGTTGCATTTTACCTGTGTGGCACTGTTCATATTTTCCATGATCCTTGCATTTTTCACCTGTTAAATGGGATCACTGACATTTTCCCCTGTTTCAAAGTCAGAATTTCAGTAAATGGGAGCACTGATCTGAAGTGGGGATGGTGCTGCTGTTCTTCACATATTTGCTCACTGTGGTTGTTTTCTGTTCTGCAGATGCATCAGACATCACCGCCACAAGGATTTAATTTCTGCTCTTCTGCTGTTTCATCTCCACTGACCAAATCTATGTCTCTAATGTCAATTAGTAAACCAGTGCTGGACAGTGAGTAACACAGTTTTTCCTTATCCATTCTCTCATCTGTATTATTAAGTATCTCTTGCTACCTTCCCAAGGCAGAATTTGCTAGTACCTGCTCTTGCTTTCCTATATTACATGGAATTTTTCACTGCTGCATGGAATTGTGGGTGGAAGGGCAGAACTCAGTTTAGATTCTTCTGAACGTTGAGAACATGGAAACTTGCGAATCCTTGTTCTCCTTGGGGGGATTTTGTTGCTGTTTATTTTGAGTTAAATGTTTTGGGGCAGTTGGGTGTAATTTATCAAATCTCATTTCTGAAGAAATGGTGATGAGGTGAAATTTTTTCAGTTTAGCTTAATTGAGGCAATAACAAGAATTCACTTATTGCAGTGAATTCAGCAGCATCACTGAATGGATTCTTGCAGCTGAAAAAGTCATTCAGAAGGCTGCAGCTGGATGTGCTTAGAAGGACCATGTTACACATCTTTCATTATGTTAATTGCGAGCCAGAAATGGTATTGACATTTTAGATCGCTCTTGTCAATCAGTGATGGTCTCTGATCTTTTCCTCTTTATTAACATACTTCTTCCTTGCAAAGCTGAACAAGGGAAAGGCGCTGTTAAGAAGGGCGTTTTATTCATTCAGGAGGAAGCTCACAGAGATTATGCTTTGTAGGAGAAGTTTTAACATCCTTTGCCATCGTTCTTCTGTGATTAATAAGCATGTGGCCTAACGGATGTGCTCCTCAGCAACGGTAACCAAAGCACGGGCAGATCTGTCCCATGGAAAGGCCGGCTCCTGCTCTGTGGAGTGGCTTTGCTCACTGAGCTGAAGACGTTCATTATTACTTCTGTTAAGCAACCAATTTATTGCCATTGGTAACCAAACACTGTGAATAACTTGGCTATCTCCCAGCAAATGGGCTGTTGGTGGCTGAGAGAGCTTGGTCAGCTGAGGTTCATCTCCCTCTCCCTTGAGACTTCCCTTCAGGCCTGTGGTGGGGCTTATGACAGGGGAGGATTTGCAGCTCCCTCTTGGAATTGGACAACCTCCTGTCTTTCCACTTCTCTCTTCTTTGACTCATGTTAAAATGCCCACGAGGCCTGAGCGGGTGGTAGACAGGTTTGATGAGCCCGTCTTCTAGAGATGGCCTAGCCATGATGGTCGTGAAGAGAGAGAAGGAACGGATGTAGTAAGATTCCAGAGAGGCTGCGAAAGAAATACCAGGTTTAGTCTGTTGCTTTGAGGTGGATGTGTCCGAGTTTTGGACACTGAAGTTAAAAGTTACTAATGCTTCTGTGAGCTTTATTTTCTCAGTTGTTAATTTGTGACTCCGCAGAAGGGCCTCAGTTTTACAGGAATGTTGTTTCTGAAAAGTAATGAATTTCAGGCGGTTGATGTGAGCAACCAAAAAGATTGCTCTTCCCAACCCTGAGTCTTTTCACAGGTCATGGACTCTTCCCAACTCTGACACTTTCCTGAATTCATCAGTACATCACTTGATTCTTCCTCAGTTGATTTCAAAGAGGAGTAAAGTTACTTGAGATGTGACCATAATACATGTGAAGCAGCTTAGTGCCTTTTACAGGAAGGTTTTGTAGAAATTCCCTTGTATCATCTAGGTTTGACACTGATATTATCACAACAGAATACTTGAGAGATACGCAAGAATAAATCCTTGATTTCATGGAGGTGAATTCTAGGAAAACTTGCATAATTTTGTGGTAGGTGTTCAAAACCAAACGGGTCTGAATGAGAAGAAAGCAGCATGTTCTGCACAAAGGCTTCAAAAACTAAATCCAAATTAACAAACACACAGAGGGCTTTCTCTTGTTTTCCCTGTTTATTGTCATATGAACTGAGGCAGGAGCTACTTCCAAGACCGAGTTTCTAGCCTGCGCTCCATCTGATGTCTCAGATGTTCCAAGAGCTGCTGTGGCCATTCACAACTGTTAATCCTTCAGCATTTTATAGAGAGAGGTCACAAGAGCTGTTGGCTGGAGTGCTCGGAAGACTGCTTTCGGCTTTGGAATAGCAAATTTCCAGTGTGGAGCATTGTTGCAAAGCCAGGAACTGCTATAAATAAAACCACTGAAATGGAAGTTGAGTTGAACTGTGCTGGAGGAGGTGGTTCTATTTACAGTAAAGTATTATTGTTCATCTTGACTTTTAGTCTAAATAGACAGTAGACTACAGAAGAAAGAAAGCAGTGTTGCCTGGTCATGTTCTTCAGGTCTGGGACACTAAAACTACTCCTTTGAAAGGCAGTCTAAACAAAACTAATGCACGAGTCTTGCTTTGAATTGTTCTATTTCAGTGCCTTTCATTGGGTCCCTCTAGGGTTGTTCTGCTTACATTGGAAAAGTTTGCATATAATTTTACTCAAATTGCCTCTTGGCATTTGTGACTTATGGCTGAAGGAAAATTTCAGGGGAGTTTGCTTTGCATTGCTTGCATTGCATTGAATATCCTTGAATAGTATTTTTATATTATATTCTGAATTTAGTTTGGGGTTATGATACCAGCAATACAAAAAATTCTCTTTGTATGTGACCTAAGGGGGGTGTTTTGCTCAAAGAGAGTAATCATTTCTACTTTATTCTCCTGTAATTTTAATACTGATAAGGTCTTTAGCTTCTTTACCCTGTTGTGCAAGTAAATTGATTTATCCATGCCATGGAATGACTTAAAAGTGCCTGAATACATGCACTGAAGATGTTTGGTGTAGTTGCTTAATGTAGAACCCTTAGGTCTGACCTGTCCCTGGGGCAGAGTTTCCCCAGCCCTGTCCCATTCATCTTTCCCGAGGACACACTGATGTACCATGTGAGTGATGGGTACCCAGCAACCTTGAGTCATTCTAGTTCAATTCCCTGGCAGTTACTTCAGTGAAGCAGATGCCCTTTGCCCAGAGATCCACTATGTTGTTGGTATTCTGTTTGGGAAAATAACTGTTCAAATTTAAATCTTCATTAAAAGGTCCTATAAAAAGATGCCAGCAAAAATAAGGAAAGCCTGAACCTGGAGTTGTGCATGCAGTGAGACCTGCATCCTCTGAAACCTGCATCCTCTGGAATTTGCACGTTCTCAGTTCTTTGTTTCTTGTGCCTTTTCTGAAGCCAGCTGCTTTGCAGACATTTCCTTTGCTTTGGTTTTAGTTTGCTTTGGCCGCTCTCCTCTCCTTTATGTTATTAAATGCATTTTCAAGCATGCTCTAATGTCTGCTATTAACCCACTTCTCAGCCCAGGGCCGGACTCGACCATCGAGACGAATTTCCTTCTCCTTCAGCATCTCTCCACTCATTCCTAAGTCTAAAACTCTCTTTTCTATTGGCTCTTCTTCCAGTGATGAGGAGGAGGAGGTGGATAGTAAGTAATTGTTTTCTGTGCATTGCAGCCATTATGGGTGGAAACAAAGGGAAATCTGGTTTCCTGCTTGAGGCCTTGAAGTTTCACCTTGCAAACTTTGAATGAACCTTTTCACTGCATGATGTCTAACAGCATTATCTTAGTCCTGTATCTGAATACTAACTAGTAGCAGAATAAAAGGATTATAATCCAAAGTCTTGTACATCAGCACCACCACTTCTCATCTGGTTAGTTTTGGTCTGTGTCCATGTGGCAGATACCATTGTTTGCCACTCTGACCAGCAATGTAGTCATTATCTTTTTATTAAGACCAAAATACTTGTCTTGAGATTGTTGCAGTGCATGCAGTTAACAGAAGAGGTAGATCCTTTCCCCTCCGTAGGTGAGAATGAGTACAACGCTCAGTGGAAGCAGGAGAAGAGGAGAGAAGCCCTGATACTCTGTAAATCTTGGTTGCAACTTCAACTCCTGAGCAAAAGCACGCATTGCAGCTCAGCACCTTGTATCATCAGGATGCTCATGTCCATGTCCTGATATTATAGTAGTTTTGTTGGGAAACAGGCAAGTGTTATATGGTGGTGTTTTTTTTCCTCGTGTAAACTCCATTGCTAAAAGAAGCCCAACTAATGCAAAAGATTGAATTAAAATAATTTAGCCTCTTGGGTTTTTTAAATAGTCTTATCAGTGATAATAGAAAAAGTTCCCCATTTCTTAAGCATGTTTTGTTAGACTGTTGAAGTAAACCAGAACAAATAATTCTCTACCTAAATAAAATTCAGAGTAGCTGCATTAGTTGGGTTCCTATCAAAGGTTTGCAAGGAAACTATCCCACATCCCTCCTGCCCATACTGGGATGGGGGAAATTGCTTTCCAGTCCAACAGTTTTGGTTGCTTCCTGAATTTAAGAATTCTACACTCCATCCACTTAGATACCTGTACTCCATAGATATCTAAATTCTCCTCCTTTCCATTCCCAGTCTTCACTGTTTGTCCCTTTCTACAAGAAAGTCCTGTACTCTTCCCTGGTGTGATACTACCCGTTTCCATATTTCAGCTTCTTCCTCCTTTCCCCTTTGCTCTGTCCTTCTGTCTTCAACAAAGCACTCAATTCATGGTCCTCACAAAGTGAATTGCAAACACACAGCTGTGCATTGGTGTCCTGCTCCCACGGTTCAAAGTACTCTTGGCTAAACTTTTTGGTGGATTTGCTTTTCTTCATGGGTTTTTGCTTGTTTTGGAGGGGGTTTGGGGTTTTGGGGTTGAATTTATTTTTGTTTGGTTTAAGCATCCAACCAGTTGAATAATTCCTACCAGTCAGGTCAGGGTATAGAAGTTTTGGGGGTGTTTCTGTTGGCCAATATTTATCTTCTTTCCCTCAACCAGTTAACAATAAGCATTTAAAATAATGTCAGATACTGTCTCAAAACAAAAATGCTGCTTTCTTTATATGTGTTTTATTCCCTCATATTTGAGGGTACTGTGGTGACTTTATAAAAAGGTTGGTTTAGCCACAGCTATTCATAAGCCTGCTTTGGCAATGGGCATTTTTCATGTAGTAGTCCCAGATCAGCTTGTTTATTTTCTCACATGTTCTGGGTTCATTTCTCATGAGAGGGTGGGTGTGTGTATTAGCATTGAGACTGCACTTGGGTTTCAGTTTCCGCTCCTCAGCCTCTCCATGTGTGTTTTTCACTGGAGCATTAGTTGAGTTTCTTCGATATCATGCTATATTTAAGCTGTAGGTTTCAGGTGGCTGAACAAGCCAGTATGTGCATTCAGAAAACTATTGTGAAGCCTTTGAATTTCTTGACCCACAAACGTTTAATTGCTGTCAACATTAAGGGGTTGTGAGCTGGTGTCTTTGGTCTCCAACACCCTAATCCAGTTGCTGTTTTCTGCATAATGGACCTTGATGAATTATTTCAAGTCCAGCTACCATATAAAATAATTTTGGTGGGTGATGCTTAAAAGGTGCTCAGATAATTACATGAATATTTGGCTGCAAGCCCGTATTCATTGCACACAGAAAGCAGTCCTGTCCTTTGAACAAAACTATTTGTGTGGGTTGTGAAGTGATATTTTAGGTTTGAACCTGGTCATGATAGGAAACACAAAAATTGGAAATAAATCTTCCTTCCCCTCTTCTGTAAAAAACCCTGAAGGAGAGAAAATGTGTGGTTTCCTATGCTTATCTTCATGGGGTTTATGGCTTGCAGCAGAGTGTTGATCATATGATGTTGTACTGTAACCTGAAACATGAAATCACAAACAGGCTTTCACCTTGTTTTTTGTCTGAATCCATTTTGCCTGAATCAAGAATCCCCCATTTTAAAGATGAAACATTATTGCAGTGAAGGAAAAGTAGTACATAATTGAAGTTCACATGCAATGTACTTTGTTAAGGTGCTGAAGGAGTCACAAATACCAAGTTATTACAGCTCTTGATTCAGTGTTTGTATTTCTTACACTGCCTGCAAAGACACAGAAGGGTGTGTGAAATACTTAAATCCAGTCAAATTGATGAATCTATTAAAAAAAAGGAAAGACTAAGGAAGTCTGCTTGTTAAAATCAAACTAGAGCTGAAATGTGAACCAGAGTCACTGGAGCATTAACCAGGGATTTGGAAGTCTGTGTATTGCTTTGTGTGAGCTTAGTAGGCACTTTGGTAGTGGATGTTCTATAAAAACCTCCAGCACAGTCAGGAAAGCAAGTAGTAGACTTCATTTGATGAATGTTACAGTATTGCTAACTTTGATGTATTTGGGATAGATCATTAAGTAGATGAAAGATTTTGCAAGGGAGATACTAAGAGAGATCCCCGAGCAGGGATTAGGTAATGGGGTATGCTTGTATTTTAGTTTCTCAGTGGGAAGAAATGATACTTCTGTCCCAGTCCGTGTTGACACTTGAATCAGCGGTTAGCAAAATGTGTATTTCAGAATCATAAGGCATAATATTGTATGCACAGTTCTTCCTAATGCACTTACTGCTTTTGGATAGAGGACCCTCACTGCCTCTGATGTCGCATGGCCCTTTTGCACTCACCCTTAGCTTTAATATGTTAGCAGAATTTGCAGCCAGAGTATTGCCTTGCTTACCAAGGCTAATAAGATCATCAATCATTCTGCTTTTTGAACTTCAGATAGGGCTGCAAACAGGGCTTGCAGTGAGGGTATTTTGGAGTCCTGACAAGCTCAGTTAACCTGGAGAGTGCCCTTGCTTCAGTTCATCCTGGTATTTCAGTATTCTTTGATGGTTCTGGTAAATGGTGTCAGGTACCTAATCTGCTCCAAATGCATTGTGCAAGCAGGTTTCTTGCATATAAAGAGAACTTGTGTCATTGGCAGGGCTTCAGCTTCATGTTGAAAGTCAGACTTTCCTCAAGCACAGTGTTTTTGTGACTAAGCCCTAGGCTGGTAATGTTTCGTGGAAAAGGGAATAAGGCTTCCCTTGTTTCCCTTACTCTTTATGAAGTGCTTCAGGATTTTGATGGGAAAATGTACTATAATTTTATCAAGTATAAAAGTTTCATACATGAAACCTGGATGTGTTTTACAGTAGATTCTTTCTAGTGGTGTATAAATTAAAGCATTGTGGCAGAATGATTCTCATTTATACCTATTGTCATTGAATTGGCAGTTCTGATTCACATACCCTGATTTACCAGCACATTTACCAGCACAGATGCCCATCCTTTGCTTAATAGCTAAAGAATGGTAAAAATACTAAGCATGCTTTCACCTCAGCACCTAATTTGAGAGCACCTAAGAATACAGGGAACAGGCTTTATCCTGAGCACATGAAATCTATTCTAAACACTCACTTCTGGAAAACATTTCCTCTTCCTCTTGAACCATCCAAATACACAAACTCTGTTTTTAAACTCAGCGGGCTAAGACTGCAGTCTAACATGTCCTTCCCCCTGCCCCTCCGATCTTTTCCAGGTACGCAGGCATTTGGCGGCCCCACAGCTTCCTCGGTTCAGAGGTACAGTATTCTGGGGGTACCACATCTCTGTTGGTGGGACTCCTGCAGTGGGCTCTGCTTCAGACACCCAAAAGCCTTGCTGGCACCCGTGCACTTCAGCTGAAAACACAAGTTGTCAGGCTGGGGACAATCTTAAAAGGCTTAAGAATATTATAGATCATAGAATATACAAGTCTGTTGTAGGTCTAACAAGCCTCTGTGTTTATCCGTAGCTAGTAACATAGCAGGTTATGTCTTATCAAACAGTATCAATTTACCCTGAGTTATATTTTACACTAAAAGTAGTTGTTCTTCCCTTTAGTCAATTCCATTTATATTTCTATAATGAAGGCCAAAAATGTCATGGTTTTGTCTGTTACTTTTCATCCTTGCAAGCTGTAGAGAAGAGATAGTCTTTCTGGTGGTGGGTGCCAGCTTTAAAAGCACTTCCCTGGGGGAAGGACATTTGTGGCACTGAAGAAGCTGGGTGTCTGGTCTCTGTGTCACTCTGATAGCTTTGGCTTCATTTTGTGGCTGGGAGACTCTTTGATTGCAGCTTGCTGCTGTTTTCTCCTTGATTTCATTTGTCTTTCTGTTGTTCTGCTTTTGGTTTGCATTGTACTTCCTATTGACAGACTGCGTCCTTTAATGCAATGATAGTTTCCTCCATAACTTCTTATTCTTTCATAGACGATGAAATCATAAGCTTGTGCATGTAGAGACTGCCAGAAAATATCTGGCTTCCCAGAAATGCCTCATTTGATACAAATGACTGTTTATTACTTGGTATTAGTATTCTCATTCCTCAAGGGAGGCTTTGCAGTGTGGTTTCTAGTAAAGACACTCACTGCCTCTTCAGGGCTTATTACATCTCATCCTCTAGAAGGGGATTTCTCTTTTTAAAGGATGTGTGCATGTCTGTCCCTTTATGTCTAAAATACTGAAGATTAAATGCCAAGACTCGCTCTGTACCTGCAGTATTTGCCATTTAACAGACCTGTGCTGGCCTGATCAGTGGTTATTTGACCACAGGAGCAGCAGAGGGTGCTGTGGCATGGTTTGAGAATGGAGATTGATAAAAAAAAGCAAATAAAAGGATTCCTTGAAATGCGTGACAAGCTACTGGACTGGCATTTTGTCTTCACTTTGCCTTCTTTGCTGAAAAGAAGCATAAACCAACCATAAAACAACCCGTCACTTTGTTGGATAATAAATGCATTTGTCCTTTAAAAAAGAATCCATCCATTTAACAAATGCTGTGGGATGAAAAGAAAAATAAAAGCAACTTCTTTCTTCTTTGATTTTAGCATATCTGAAGAGAGCAGCAGTGTCCCCGCTGGTAAAGGTGCAACCAAAGTCAGTCGCACCTTCAGCTACCTCAGGAATAAAATGTCCAGCAGCAAGAAGAGCAAAGTAAGTGCTTCTTGTGATTTATGCAGCCGTGAAATACCCATAGGTAGCAGAGATGAATTCTGTTTTTCAGTATGTTCCCGTAGGGTGGTATTTATCTCTTTGACTGGCTTTTTTCCTTTTGCAAGGGGAGGATGGACTGTGGGGTAATAGGGAATAGCTACATGGGAACTATGCACCCCAAAGTTGAAATGCACCTGAGATGAGTTTTCCTGTGCAATGTTTTTGCCTCTTTTCCCCACAGAATGAAGCTTCATTTATTATAGAGAATAGATTGTTCTCTGGGATGAGTTACGGCTTTGCAGTGATGGATGGGTCTAATTTTTAGAGAACCTGAGAGGTGTTTAATAAAACGAGGGCAGGAGCTGTAAGAAGGGGCTGGCTGCTGAAGGCCGTGTTGTGTTTCCTTTTTATTTCTCCTTTTTGCCACAAAATCCCCGTGCACTGCTGAAGAAGCTGCCCAAGCTGTGACCTTTAATGATGGCCAATATTTATATTTTTCCCCTTTTTCAATCCTTGAAAACCTGAGATTTAATTTGCTGAAGCTCAAGCGCTGCTCAGCACAGCCGAATTTCCTGGAAACAGCATTGGTTACAGAAATAACTACATTCATGCTGAATACTTCACACACAGGCTGCTGTTGCCTTAGGTTGTCCCCTGGAGATTAATATATGTTGGAGGGGTTTGGCTTGGTTGGATTTTTTACTTGAATCTCACCTCAGTTCATCATGTCTGACAAGCTAACTTCACCTTACCTCACAGCAGGCTGTGTGTATTATGCAGTTAGGTGATGTGAAGCTAATATGTTGGTGAATACTGTTGGAAGGCCCCTGAGATGCATAATTACATATTCTGACGAGTGCCTCAATAGCAGTCAGGAAACAAAATGTGGCATAAATATTGTGCCTGTAGTGGAGTAAGGCTGGGGGCTGAAGCATACACATATGGGAGGAGATATGTTTCATCTGCACAAAATAACTTGATTTTAGCCTTTTCCAACATAAGCACTTGATGTTTCAGCCTGAGGTTCCTCTAACATAGCTGGGTTTGTGTGCTCTGATGCTCCAACACACATTTGGATACTTATTTTTGGAAGATTGCATCACCTTTGCAATGAGGTACCAGCTCTGTTGAGATCAGTCATTCTAATGCACAGTTCCTCTTTATGGCTCTGCCTTTCAAGATGTGAGCAAGAGCTGCTGCTCTGCAGCTTTAAGGCAATGCTGTTCCCTGCTGCAAAGTACAGTGTAAAAATAAAAGATCTGTTTACATAGAAACCTCTGTGCAAACCACTGGTGAGAAGTGATGGAGCACGTTGCACAGCCTCTGGAGGAGTCTGGAAATTCATTAACCGGTTCTTGCACTTCGGGTGTATAATCTCTAAAGCAAGAACTGTATATATATGCACGCACACACACAGAGATAAAAGAGATCTGCTTGGCACAGGTGAGAAGATAAGACTGAAATGCTTTGAGATGCTTGCTTTTGTTAAATAAGCATACTCTTGGTTTCAGCAATTTCATAATAGTGTCCGAAACGGTTCATACAGAATTGCTCCAAAATCCCAACAATAACGTGCACTACAAAGCTCATATCAGTTCTGGGGATTTTACTAAAACGCCGTAATATTCAAATCACAGTTTCTTCTCTGCTTGCGGTGGCGTGTTTGCATTGCATACGTTTTGAAGGCTTCAGCTGAACATTTAAATAATTAGACCTAAAACTTCTCGGGAGCACTGATTTCTGAGCACATTCTGGCTGATGGAAACCTGTAAGAGTTAAAAAGAAAATATAACAAACCTTGAAAGAGGAAGTTGGACAGGAAGAGTTGATTGCTGCTGCTGTCTGGGCTGTCAGGAGGGAGGGAGCCTGCAGCTTCTTTCCGACTCGGTTTTACTTCAAACCTGCAGAAATGCACTGTTCCTAAGATGACCCATGAAATAAAGTGTATCTGAGGCTATTAATGGCAATGGCTCCTTAAAAATGGTGTAGAAAGTTATGTAAAAACCCCTAAAAAGAAAGGGATGTTGGAGTGTGTAACTGCAGGGGATACTGATAGGCGTCTGTGTGAATTTACCCATCTCTGGAATGCACTTTGGGGATTAGTGAGGGAATCTCTTGAAATCAGTAGCATGCACAGATTCTTGTTTGCGAAGTCTAAATTCAAGTTTGTGACAGTCTTTCTCTGTCAATTAGACAAAAAAGGAATACTCATTTTCTTCTTTTGGTAGGGAGTTTCTGGGAAATGATGACAAAAAACCTAATATGAGTAATTTCTGTTGCCTTGCGCAGTTATTAGGCAGTGCTGTACCACCAGCAGCGCTTCAGTGTATTTAGTAAGAGTTGTTAAGTGTTTGAAAGGACTAGGAGACAGGCAATATTTGTGACCTGTAGAGCAGGAGGAGCGCAAACACATGAAGCCTTTCTGTGTGGGAAGTCTTCTGGAGCACTTTGTTTAGTGAAGCACTGCACAGCAGCGCTGAGGTATGTTAAAATTCACTTTTTCTGTATCCTAAGCATCACAGAGGGTTTGGTTTGCCACCTTCTGCCTTTTAAATGGGTGGTCTCCCATTGGCTTGTGCTTTCTATAATATCAATGCCATCTTTTTGTGCCTGTAGTACTTTTTTAATGTGTTTTTTTAGCAGTGGAAGCTGAGGTAGGGCAAGATGAAAGCAACAGCAGAGTAGCTAAAATCATCATCGAGGAAGTTAGCAACAATCGTTGAGCCCTCCCCCTTTGCTTAACTGCTTTCTGACTGCAGTGCTGGCAGCTCGGGGTCGTTGCAATGGGCTGATGCTGGGGGGAAGCAGCTCTCCTGCCCCCAGGGGAAGGATGTCGATGAAATGGAATAGATTTGCTGAAGTACCTCAAATAACAGTGAAGCTGGTAGGACTTAAGCAGTGGGAGGTAAGAGCTTCATGCTTATTTCCAAGCGGTACCCAGCTTGTCTGTTAGTGCCCGTGGCCGCAGGTTCAGCCATGAAGCTGAGCTTCAAGTCATGGTGGCAGCTTCAGTAGCACAGGAAGATGGGTTTGTTTTTACAATATCTTTTTACAGAAGTTCCAGTAACTTGTCACAGGAAAAGAGCGACAAAGAATAAATGCAGTCTCTTTTGAGACCTTGTGTTTCGGTGCTACAACTGGCACCCTGTGTGTGAAGTTTGCCGTTTCCTCCTTGAAAGTGGTGCACACATTTCCTGTTTTTCCTGGGGTTGTTCAGCTTTAATTAAAATGGTTTTTACAGTGATTTTTATGAAGAGAGGGTGTTATGGCAGACTGTAGAATTACTGGGCTTTGCAGTAAGCATCAGATATGTTTAAAGTATAGGACAATGAATCTCCCTTTGGCATTTGAAGCATGAATGCCGTAAGGTCTTGCCTTGAGCATAGGATGATCTTTTTTCCTGGATATTCACAAGTCCTAGAATAGACTTGGTCAACTTGGTACCATCAGCCAAGGACTAAACTGCAGTGTTTTAGCACTTGAATCCTGCCAGACTGGACATGGTTAAAGGTGGGAGGTCAGCAGATGGACAATGGGGCTGTGGAGTTTTACACAGGATAGTGATCTAAGATGATGACTTTCAGGAAGCAGAGATGTGCCACAAAGCAGACGCTTCCTGGCAGGTTTTCTACTTCAGACAGGATTATTCCATACGCTAATGCTCCTGGTTTTGCTTATTTGCAGAATGGAATAGCGTTTGAGGCCAGTAAATAGACTTTATGAGTCTTTACAGGGACAGACTCCAACAGTGGCATTTTGCCTGGGGTGTGTTGAGAGAGGATAGACCTTGGGCTGAGTTACTTACTACTTGAGTGTGTCATCAGAAGTTTCCCTGCTGATGACTGCAGAGCTCAGTACCTCTTTTAACTGCTTCATGGCAGTCACTCACATGGGCTGCTCTCTGATGCTTAGCTGTGACAGTACTTAGCAAAGGGCATGTGGCATATAAATAACAAAATGGAAAGATAAGCTTACAGAAGCCTGTACCACTTTCTGATTAAGCTTCTCTTTCAGATGCCATGAAATCTGCAGTAGCAGTTAAAATACAGATTGTATGGTAACCATTTTGTAGAGTGGTACATGGAAAGACAAGGAGTTGTTGGTGTAATTCAAATTTGGAGCTTTTCTATGGTGTTTCCTTTAAAGATTGTTTGGGAGAATTCCAAATCCACAAAAGGCTTCAGGTAAAAAATGCTCCAAATTTTTAGTATTTACCATTTTCTGTCCCTTTTACAATAGAAAAGTAAGCAAAAACTCTGCTAAAAATGGGGGAAGCTGGCTGTGCTTGACAACTTTCCAGAGCTGAGTAGCCCAGCGGTTGAACGTGGCTTCTGGAACACAAGATAATCTTCTACAGTGTTGCTGCTGTTCCACAGCCTTTCTGTGGTGCCATATTTCAAGAGTTTGTGAAAGATCCATGTCCCCAAAACGTTTCACAAGGTTACTGGGGGTTGCATGAAACTGATGAAAAAAGTTGTCAGTCAGAGGGAAAATGAAGGTGAAAATACTCTCTCAGTGATGCTGTGCAGTTAGCGAGGAAGAGCTTGTGTTCTCCATTAAACATGCAGTTGCTAAAGCATGAGTCTTACATGTTGGCCTTAAAAATTACCTGTATTGAAAGTTTGATGCACATTATGCATGGTATTGTATTTAACATAATTTACTGAAAGTACTGAAGAGATTCACGAGAGCCCAGAAGAGGTAAGTCATTACACTAAGCAAATATAACACAAAAGTGGAGGAAAGTAGCTGCTTTCAGAACAGATTCATCTCTATTGGCGAGATCCCCATGCAGAAGGGTCTGCAAGTCCATGGTATGTTAATCCATATCCATGGGGGCTGAAAGCTGGAGTTTCAGCAGGGCTGTGCACACACATGGCTATTGTTAAGGTGTGCGCTGATCGATATCGTCATAGTGCCAAAGGCAAACACTGAAGAATTTGTAACTAGAGAAGAGACCTCTGCAAAGTAACGCAATATTTGTTCATTTTTCTCTCAACAGGAAAAAGAGAAAGATAAAGAGAAGACTAAAGAGAAGGACAAAGATTCCAAGGAGAAAGAAAAAGATAAGAAGCTGTTAAATGGACATCTCTTCACTGCAACCTCCGTTGTAGCCCAAGCAACCTGTTACCACTGTATGAAACCTTTCAATAAGGATTCGTACTACTGTGCAAGTAAGTTGGGTCTTTTTCCTCCCCTTCCTTTTGTTTTTCATTAAATCTGATCTGGGAAATGCAAGCGTTACCCTTTATTTTCCTCTTCTTTAAGGGTGTGGGGTGGAAGGGCATCTTTAGAGATAGTGATTCATGGAGCAGTGTGTTGCCTTATGGAAGCTGGACTGAAATGAGCTGTGGCTGTGAGGAAGTGTCCAAGTGTTCCTAACCTGTGCTCAGACATTACAGCATCCCACGGGGATTTCTGCCCCTGGTTGTCGGGATGTATCAGTCAGCTGGAGAACTTTGGATATTTTGGCTGCATCTTATGGCTTGGGACTAAGGTGCTGTGTTAAGATGGATGGAGGACAGGCAAAGCTGGCTTGTATCGTGGCTTTTTATTTCCAGTAAAGAAAAAGTATCCTGTCCATGTGTAGCGAATTTAGTGTGTTGCTTTAGTTCTGTGAAACCCTGCTTTGGTGAGCCCTCAGTGAGAACAGCATGACACAAAAGGGAAATACTAACCCTCTTCTCCCTTTATACATGAAATCGTAGCACAGTTCAAATGGCAACTACCTGTGTGCATGTGGAGTACATTCAGTACACTGCAGGCAGTGCAGGAACCATGGCAGAGGGTTCCTGCGAGATTGGTGATTCTGTTCTCTTTTCTTATCAGGCAGTTTCACATGCCTGTGGCTTGATAAGGTCAGTGGCATTTGTGTGGTCAAGAGCAGAGTCTCGGCCGGGTTACTCAGTGCCCAAGGCTACAGAATATGCAGGCAAATAAGACATTTTCTCACTGCAGCTCAGAGCTCTCCACTTCTTACTATTAATAATACTTTTTACTCCACTAGCCTAGAGATGAGTAAAAGCATGTACAGGAATTGCTGCCAGGCTGCAGCAGGAGGCTCTGTCTCTTCGTTCTGGTAGATGAGCAGCATATGAAACAACTTCAGTGAGCAGGGAAGGGAGCAGCCAGCTGAATCCCAAATGGCAGTTTGGAGTTTCCTGGAAGAGAAGAGATTTCAGCAAAGTTCACACACTCTGTGTCAGTCTGATGGGAGCTGGAAGACATCAATAATTATCAGCTCTCAAATGCATCCTCACCCTTTCCCTGCTTGACTTTCTTAACAGCTTCTGAAGCCACTTAAAAAAAATCAAATATATCCCACTTTAAATCTCTATATCCCAATGAGTTAAAATAATCCAGCAAGATTGTATGGTTTAGCATAGATGTTCTTTCCTTGATTTTTGAGTTACAACAGAAAATTACTGTAAGTTTTCTGTGTTAGCCAGAAAATGAATGCCACAGGAAAGTTTGGTCAGGCCCAGACCAGCTCACATCCGAGAGTGGTCCTTTCTCCCATTGCATCTTAAAATCAGTCATTAAATCCCTTGGATGTGACTGATAACCAGCAGCAGAGGCTGTGTTGTTCCTGTGCTGTTGTAGACTACTTCTTTACTGCCACCATTGATGCTCTGTCTACCCATGGGTGACTTTTTCTTAATGCTTTTTAAACACTGGCTCATTTAAAATCAGTGTCTCCACTTTTCAGTGTCACCACCAGCTTCATGAACCAGGTAGTCAATGCTGAAAGATTTAGCATGCTCTAAAACAAATGGGCAAGCAAAAAATTCCTCATTTTTTATAGCTATCTGCCTGGCCTCTTTTATTTTTTTATGATCAGTGATGCAGAAAACAAGCTTCTGGGGGTTTTAATTCTTAATGCTGGTGGTGTTAGCATTAAGCATTAACTCTTCCTGCCTGCTGAAGAGTTAAATTGGAGTAATCAAGTCCCTGAAACCAGATTTTCAGTCTAAAAAAATCAAAATGCCTTACTGCTAAATGCTACATACAGGCTTTCAAAGCTTGAATGTGAATTAGTGGTTCTGAATTGTCTCACCTCCTCTTTTCATGCACCAGGTTCTATCCCTCTTCTTTGTTTGATCTGAAACATGATACTTCCTGTGAGTTTTTGCAAGAAAGTGCAGGTTTCTTCTCTTGCACAGGAAGTTGTGGGACATGGACAGAATAGCAACGCCCTGTGGCCTTACCCTTACCTCTCTCAAAATATCAGACCAGTTACTGGCTTTTAGTAAGTAGACTCAAATGTAGGAAATGCTAGGAATATGAGCAGATTTTGTCATTCTGAGCATCGATTTGTTTTTCCTTTCATATTTCCTCTAGAAATAATTTAGAACCTTATGCTTACAGTGTAATGTACTCTTAAAATTCATGATCTGTGTTAAAATGTGTTTCCATGAATGAGTGGAAATAACAGGTTTTCTCTAAGCTACTGAATCTCAGTATACTGAGATACTGAGAGCATTTGAGTTATCTTTTATCTGTCAGAAGAATTAATGTTCCAAGCCCAATTAAAACTTCTTTTTCCAGGATTATTGCTAATAATCTTTGAGAACTTCCCAGAATTCTTCCTAGAAAAATTCCCAGAAATCTACTGGCAGGGATCATGGGCAGACTCAGGGGGGTCTGTAAAAGACAGCAGCTTTTCCTCTGGCGTATATGCAGCAAAAGGTGGTGGTAAAGCATTGATGCTTTTTGCATTAGTAAATGTGGTTTTGGACTAAAACAGTGGCTTCAATCTGGTTTTGAGCAGAAGTCCCAGCCTCACAAACACGGGCACCTGGCAGATGCTCCTGTTACTTTTCCTGATAATCTTGCATTACAGCAGCACTTGGTTCCTGTACTGTAGATCTTGGCTATGATATGCCTGAGTTGATGTAAATGAATGTTCCTGTCCCTTTCCTGTCTTTTGGGTCTCATAAACCTTGTCTTGATGAGAACAGTATTTGTGTTTTCAGAGAAAATACTGGCCTTACAGACAGCTGGGTTCTGTTTCTGCCTCCTGCTTCTGCTTTCCACCTTTTCTTTCAGAGGGATAACTCCATCTTTTTTCTTTCTCTCTTTTTAAATGTAAGACCCATTGGAACCCTGGCAACTTATCTTTGTATTTATTTTTAGACAGAATTTCCTGTTAAATTCCATGCGGAAACCTTGTTAACAAACAAAGAGCTAATTATCCAGGAAAGCAGCCCTGTCTCTCAGTATCAGTGGCTGCTCATGTAAACCACAGTGATGCCTGAAAGCTGTAATTCTCAGTTGTGCAAGATAACAGTTCAGATTAGAAACGGCAAAACCTGACCCGTTTCTGTGCGGTGTTGTTTAATCCGTGGTGGGGGTTTTATGTTTTTGACAGACTGCAATGCAATTGTTCACAAAGGCTGTAAGGAGAGTGTTGCTTCTTGTGCAAAGGTCAAAATGAAGGTAAGAGATTCATCTACTTTACTGAATAAACAAAAAGATTTAAACAGTTTAGCATGCACATGCATAACATCTTCTACCATACATCCCAAAGTTCCCAGCTTGTTGGAAAGAACTTCAGCCCCTTTGCTATAGTGAATAACATCCCTAAGCCCTCCTGCAATTCCCCTGAACCACATGTTAATACAGAGTTGGCCCTGTGAGTGTGTGAATGCTACAGGTGAACACCACAGGGTGTTTGTTCCCTGAGGTATATAGGAACCTTATGGTCTGTCCTGTGCTTCCATTAAAAGAACCCTAAAAATAACCAAAACCAAACCAACAAAACACTTCACTGGCAAAATTCAGGGGTGTGCAGCACCCTTAAATGTTGTATCTTAATTCTCAAGTGCTGTCATGCCACATTAACCTGTTAAATATGTAGATTGTTTCTGTGAGGAACGTGCAGAATTTGTGCTTGCCCCAAATGTGAGGAACCTCTTGTGCAGATGGTTCTCCAAGCTGGTGAATGTTTATACAATTATAATTTTCAGTTCTTTTCAGTATTGTCAGCCCTTTGTCTTCTCATTTGCTGCATATTTCTCCATCTTATTTTGTCCATTTCATTGATGACAACTGGAGGGGGGCTACATGTGTTTGTGATTGTGATTGTGTGCAGCTAAGTATATAGATATGTTACAGACACATAGAGCCAGAAATGATCTATTGTGAGAGGATTCAGAAGAAAACACAGCTTTTTTATTTTACTTATGTGACAGCCTGATGGGAGAAGGGAAGAGAAATTACAGTGAATTTCATTTTTCTTTCAGCCACAGAGAGGGATGCTGCAGGCACATGATACCTCTTCATTACCCACAGTAACCATGAGAAACAAAAGTAAGAAAACTTCCTTTCCCTCTGCTTTGGTGATGATCTCTATCTGCTATTCTTAGCTGTTCTGACAACTAATATCCAATACTATGAAGGATAAGCATTTATTGAAGCAGGGCTAAGAGCATTTTCTGTGCATGATAAGCAGTGTTTGGGGTTTCAGTATTTGTACTGAAGATGCACAGAGTTCATCCACTTCTGCAGTGTCCATGTAGCTGTAAGCAGATGTAGTCATATTAGATCTAGAACAACTACTTGACTGAAAGCCTACAGCTGGTAAGTCCACAGAATCTGGAAGATGAAGCCTATGTCCATGGTATCTGATATTGGAAAGAATCAAACTAGGAGTATTATATTAACAGAAATTGTTCATATTGCAAGTTGTAAGGATCCTTGCTCACAATGCTTTGGTTTGTTTGGTTAATTAAATAGTCATGCTTTGAGATAGTAAAACCAGAAAGTTTAATTTTGAATAGGAGCAATACTGACAATTCTTCCTGGCTGCACTGAGATACACACTGCTCTGTGGACGTACCCAGTGTGACCCAGGTAAAAGAATAGGAGTGAAACAGCCCATATGGGTTTTGTAGTGCCATGATTTGATAAGCTTACCTAGTAATAGCTTGGAAATCACTAGATGGAACCACACTGTATAATACAGATGTACCCACTGTGGTACTTACCATCAAATTCAGAGGTATTGCTCCAGAAGCAGAAATGCATCTAAAGAAGGGAAAATCTGGAATAAATATAGAAAGATTATTTCAAGGTACATCGTAGTGTAATGAGATAAGGTTTAGCATTTCTCTGTGGTACATACTGATAGAGAAAGCTGTCTCAAGAGTTCGACCAGAAGTAGGGAGACACATAATTACAGGATCAGAGAAACTAAAAAACAACATAGTGGATTGTTACATATGGTTATTTGTCAAATAAAATTAAGTTCTATTTCCCAAGTGTATGTTCCTGGACTTGCAGATCCCACCTAGATCTTTTCAGCGTAGTGCAATGCAGCCAGCTCTGCACAGCAGGTGATGTTCTTTCCTTATGTATGGCTGCTCCCAACAACTGCAATCTCCTGGTGATGGCTCTAGAAAGAAAAGGAAGTGACTTGCAGAACCTGGTTAAAGCCATCATCCTCACAGTTATCCTTGCAGTTACATGAACTGACTTTTCTCTGATGCTTCCCTTCCAGGCTCCCAACCAAAGGAGCGCCCTCGCTCTGCAATACTTGCTCCTGATGAAAACACCGTAACCTCAATATTCAATAACAGGAGATCACAACAGCCTACAGCACTGTCCAAAAGTGTCTCAATACAGAACATTGCAGGGTAAGGTTGCTCCCTACGTGCATGAGTGTGTGTGTATTATCTGACTCTGTGAGCATGGAGAAATCCATCTCATTAAAAATAAATTTGTGCACTATGATTTATGTCAAAGGTACAAAAAGAGCATCACAAAACGAGAACTACTCATGTTATGTATGATACCATCAGTTGTATTCTGCACAATCAGATTGTCTGGGTTAGTCTAGTCATGGCATGACTTCAGAGCCATGTTAGTTGGCCTGGTTATATTCAAGGCCACTTCAGAGATGCTTTGGGCTCAAGGAGGGAATTCCCTTGCCTTGGGCTGGGTACAGAGGAAGCACACATTTGCAGTTCAGGTATGTTTGTGTCCATAGCCATCAGGTGGAGGCACAGAGCTGCAGTCTTCATGGTGTTTCGGGACTGCATTGTGCATAACCATGCAATGCTTGCTTTGGTTTTCAACTCATATTAAAAATGCATTTCTTATGCATATTTCAAAGTACATTTGGCTGGGTTTTTATTGTGGTAAACAATATTCTGTGTTCTGTTTTTCTGCAGAGTTGGGAACGATGACAGCTTAATACACACTTGGAAATTCCTGTCTCAGTCAACAGACTCCCTACATAAAATCAGCCGGGTGAATGAATCTGTGGAATCGCTGGTTGATGAAGGTAAGAGCTCCCTGCGGCTGCTCTCCAGACATAGGAAATCCATTCTGTCATTTCAGCAAGTGTTTTCTTTTCTAATGGACAAGCAAATGCATTTACTTTAATGTTGGAATATAGTAATACACAGTAATTTCCATAGCTTGTTGAATTGTGGGAAAACATGTAGAAGGTTTCAGTTACAGTTGAGTTGCATGGAATTTAGCTCAGGGACAAACATTTCCTCTTCTATTCCGCACCTCTGGCCCATTCATACAGCCGCAGAATTTGCACTCTGTCACCTTCTTCATGCTAATGATGATGCCTTGTGCTTCATATTTTTCCCAGAATGGGGAAGGAACTGCTTAATTTTGGGGGTTTGAAAATGAAATCAGTTAAATTCATTTCTTAAGTGTCAATATTTATATATATAGTGAATTTCTAATCTGTAATTAGTATTTTTACATCTTAGCCAGTATTTGCATGAAAAGAGCAGAATGGTCTTAATTTATTAAGGACTAAACAAGGGCATGCTCATGGTGACAAAAAGAACATTCCCCACTTCTGGCACAAATGAGCACTCTTTCTTAAAGATAGAATCATAGACTAGTTTGGATTGGAAAGGATCTTCAAAGGTCATCTTGTCCAGCCCACTTGCAATGAGCAGGGACATCTTCAACTACATCAGGTTGCTCAGAACCACATCCAGGCTGACGCTGGATGCCTCCAGGGATGACTACATGCATGTATGCAATGTATGTAGTGTTCACTTGCAGCTGCATCAATTCTGGCTTTCTAAGCTTGAAAACACAGATTTCACATAGGCCTAAGTTCCCTCAATTCAGTGATGTAAATGAAGGAAGGCAAACCGGGTATTGTGGTTTTTATTCATCTGTGATGTTGTTGCTTTATAGATAAAGAATCCATTGTCCTTTTAGCTGAGCTAGAATTTGGTCTCTGTGAAAATGGTGAACGAGTTTTGTGCAAATAGCATTTAAAAGTGCTTTTTATAACCTGGGCCTTATGTGGTATAATTCCATATGGTCATTATTCTGTCAGTAGAGGAGAATGTGATGTCTGTGGTATGACAGAGAAACTGAGTGAAGTTAACCAAAACGAATAGACAGGAATCTCAAATGAGGCAAGTGACCCACATCCTAATGGCTCTTACATTGCTTTGTGAAGGAGCAGACATGAATGAAGGACAGCTGATGGGAGACCTGGAATTAGATTCCAAGCAGCTGGAGGCAGAGTCCTGGAGCCAAGTAGTAGACAGCAAGTTCCTACAGCAGCAGAACAAAGATGTTGTCAAACGACAAGATGTCATTTATGGTGAGATACCTGCATCTTAATTTCTCATGTGTAGATAGCTTCTTGATATGCTTGCAGGCACAGATTGGGGAAGCTTTAGGTCAGGGAATAGGAACATTGTCTTGGTTTCTTCAGAAGCTTTCATTTTTGAAGTTCTTAGAAATGTAATATGTTTGTGAAAGCTTGCTTTCTGCATTTCATCTATCTGGAAGGCATCAAAGAAAAAAAGGAACAGGAATAGCCTTGGCTGGGGTTAAGCCATGACCTCATTTGTCTGCTGATAACATTTGAACTGTGTTACAACAGAGCAACTTCCTAGGAAGTCTTTGCCTGCTGGATGAAGAGCCATCCTGTATAGCAAAAGCTCACTGTGTTGAAGCTGGCAGTGAGGTGTTAGGAAGAAGCAGATAACAGTACTGAAGGTTCAGACCTCAGCAGCAATGTCCAGAGCTCTTTACTGTGGGATTCCTCTGCTGCCCTGTTTCTCCCACACATGAAACGATTGATGTTTCAATACCTAACATGAAATTTTCCGAAACCCCTTAGAGAACCCCAATTATGGAAGACTTTTCTAATGGCAGCTTTTCCTTGTACTGTGCCATGTACTCTACAGTGACCATGGTTTTGCTCTTGTCCTCATTGTATACAGAGCTAATGCAGACAGAAATGCATCATGTCCGCACGTTGAAGATCATGAATGATGTATACAGTGCAGGGATGTTAAAGGAACTGCAGTATGATCAACAAGTCGTGGACAAGATCTTTCCCTGCCTGGAAAACTTGCTGCACATCCACAGTCACTTCTTCCAGCGGATTCTGGAAAGGAAGAAGGAGTCACTGGCAGACAGAAGTGAAAAGAACTTTGTTATCAAGAGGATAGGCGACATCCTGGTGAATCAAGTAAGGGCTGGAAAATGCATGCACTTCTGAGAACGCAGATGGAAACCAGGCGCTCTTCTTCCCTTGTGTTTATGCCATTCAGATAATCACAGCCGATGGCACCTTTACTCTTCACACCTGTAAAAATCTCTGCCTCTGCTTTTTGAAGCACTCTCTGCTCTTCCAGAGAAAAGTCTAATGATGAACATTAATTCAGTTTATATTGTGGGAAAGAGAAGCACAGAATGGTTTGACCATAACCTGGAGGCTTGGCAGCAGCCCACAGCAAAAATATGCCCCATGTGTTTCTTGGCCAAGTTACTGACCTGCTGTTTAACTTTGGGCCGGTCATTTTCCTTTATCTGCACTTTCTCCTTCTTTTTGCCTGTCTTGAGTTTTTTTGTTGTTAGCTTTTAAGCCCTCTAAGTCATAGACTCATAGAATGGTTTGGGTTGGAAGGGACCTTAAATTCCATCTAGCTCCAGCCCCTGCCACAGGCAGGGACGCTTTCCTCTAGACCAGGTTGCTCAAGGCTCCATCCATCAGCCTTGAACATTTCAAGAGATGGGGCAGCCACAACTTCTCTGGGCAGCCCAGTTTCTCACCACTCTCATAGGGAAGAATTTCTTCCCGACAGCTAATCTAAATCTACCCAGATTTTGTGCTGTGAACTCAGTGAAGTCCCAAACTCAGCTCTTTACTTTCTAGAGATCTGCTTGCTTGGTTTAGGATGCCTTGGACTAATTTGGTTTCATTGAGTCCTTTTGAGAGCCTGGCAGGCACTGCTGGGATGTCACAGCAGGAGCTCAGTGCAAACTGCACCCCTGTGCCTCATGTCTTGCAGTTCTCCGGGGAGAGTGCTGAGCGAATGAAGAAAACATATGGCAAATTCTGCGGGCATCACAACGAGGCAGTAAATAACTTCAAAGATCTGTACTCAAAGGACAAGCGGTTTCAGGCATTCATCAAGGTAGAACCTGGTAGAACAGACAGAGTTGATGCAAAAAGCATGTAAGTATTTTGCTGCAGAGCTGAATTTATCCTCTTTGTTCCATAGAAAAAAATGAACAGCTCCCTGATGAGGCGTCTTGGGATCTCTGAATGTATCCTGTTGGTAACACAGAGAATCACAAAGTACCCAGTCCTTTTACAAAGGATACTGCAGTACACCAAAGGTAGGGACCAGTTCCTCTGTTCTAAGCATGTATTTGTTCCTTCAGTGTAAATCTCTTGGATCCTTTTCAGCTGAAGCAGATTTACTTGTAATAGACCAACTAATCTGGTCATTATTGTCTTATACCGCTGTAAGATGATAACGATGATAACTCAATTTTGTATCTCCATTTAAGATTAGTTATTCAGGTGCCTTGATTTAGTTGTTATAAGTCTGTCTGTAGCTAATTATGGAGCAACATGCTTAGACTCCAAAGTCCCTCAGCTTACTTGTTTGGTAATGGCTAAAATGTGTGGTTAATCTATGCATTTCATACCATCTCATATACAGAGTATATTGGAATGGTTCCCAACCCTATATGTGAAAGGTTTTATGAAACTTCCCTTAAGGGGGAAGAATTAAGCTGTTTCATGAAAGTATTAAAAAGTCGTAATGTGAGAATTTGGGATAGAGAGAAGGAAGAAAGGAAAACCGTGAAGTTAAAGAGTCCACATGCATGAATTGAAACTGAGGTGTTTCTTTTTGTTGTTCAAAGAAAACGAAGTGGAACATGAAGACTTGACTCAGTCGTTAAACCTCGTTAAAGATGTGATTGCTGCAGTCAACAGCAAAGTCAGCAATTACGAAAAGAAGATGCGTCTTGGTGAGATTTACAGCCGGACAGATAGCAAGTCCATCATGAGGATGAAGAGTGGCCAGATGTTTGCAAGAGAGGACTTGAGGCATCGGAAGCTCATCCGAGATGGGCCTGTTTCGCTAAAAAATGCAGCTGGTCGGTTAAAAGGTAAGACTAATAACCTGCCTTCAGCCAAGAGAGGATACAGCTCACCCTCTGTGGATGTAGGATTAGTGCTCAGATTGGTGTCTCTAGCCTTTATTCTTCTGCTTTGAGAGATTCTGATAGCAGCTTTCCCCATGCTGTTCACTCACTTTCCATCGCGGCATTTCTGATTCCTCGTGTTGTTTCTGGGATGATAGATAGGTGCTTTTCCTTCTGGTGACTGTATGCCTATTGAAGTCTTGATTTGCATTGACACCTCAGTGCCTCAGCTAAGGAGCAGAGTTGCTGAGGGATCCTTCAGGCCAGGAGAACATGGTGGGGCTGTAGTTACCCCAAGCACTGAGTCAGATCTCCGTGCCACCATGCACACGTTCAGTGACTGGTTCTAGGAAGTGTGCTTGCTGCATCATCTGGAACCCAACCTCAGCTTCCCGGTGGCCCTGCCCACCAGCAGCACAGTGTTCCCTTTCCTCTAAGGTCTGCAGTAGGGCTGCCCAGGCTCAGCATCACCATCCCAGTTTCACTGGAGGTGCAGAGAGGTGTGCCAGGCATCTGTTGCTCTTGAACCTCTTGAGCTGCTGCTGCAAACTGTTGGGGAGAGGTGTCCCTGCAGCTGCCTGTTGTTAGGTCAGTGTTTTCTTGAATTACTTGTTGTTTGTTATCAGGTGGAAATAGTTTTTCTGAGGTGCTGTGCACTGCAGTTCTCTACTGAATTAAACACTAAATATCACAAGGGAGCCTTCAGCAGGGACCACAGTATCACAGTATCACAGTATCACAGTATGCTGGAGATTGGAAGGGACCTCAAAAGATCATCTAGTCCAATCCCCCTGCCAGAGCAGGAACACCTAGATAACGTTACACAGGAATGTGTCCAGGCGGGCTTTGAATGTCTCCAGGGAAGGAGACTCCACAACCTCCCTGGGCAGCCTGTTCCAGTGTTCCGTCACTCTCACTGAGAAGAAGTTTCTTCTCAAGTTTAAGTGGAACCTCTTGTGTTCCAGTTTGTACCCGTTACCCCTTGTCCTATCATTGTTTGCCACTGAGTAGAGCCTGGCTCCATCCTCGTGACACTCCCCCTTTATATATTTATAGACGCTTATAAGGTCACCCCTCAGTCTCCTCTTCTCTAAACTATAAAGACCCAGCTCCCTCAGTCTTTCCTCATAAGGGAGATGCTCCACTCCCTTAATCATCTTGGTTGCCCTGCGCTGGACTCTCTCCAGCAGCTCCCTGTCCTTCTTGAACTGAGGGGCCCAGAACTGGACACAATATTCCAGATGGGGTCTCACCAGGGCAGAGTAGAGGGGAAGGAGGACCTCTCTCGACCTACTAACCACCGCCCTTCTAATACATCCCAGGATGCCATTGGCCTTCTTAGCCACAAGGGCACAGTGTTGGCTCATGGTCATCCTGTCGTCCACTAGGACCCCCAGGTCCCTCTCCCCTACACTGCTCTCTAGCAGGTCGTTCCCCAACCTATACTGGAACCTGGGGTTGTTCCTGCCCAGATGCAGGACTCTACACTTTCCCTTGTTATATTTCATCCCGTTATTCCCTGCCCAACTCTCCAGCCTGTCCAGGTCTCGCTGGATGGCAGCACAGCCTTCTGGCGTGTCAGCCACTCCTCCCAGCTTAGTGTCATCAGCAAACTTGCTGATAGTACACTCAATTCCCTCATCTAAATCATTGATGAATATATTAAATAATACCGGTCCCAGTACTGACCCTTGAGGCACTCCACTAGTTACAGGCCTCCAACTAGACTCCGCCCCATAGACCACAACTCTCTGGCTTCTCTCCTTCAGCCAGTTCACAGTCCACCTCACTACCTGGTCATCCAGTCCACACTTCCTCAATTTAGCCGTGAGGATGCTGTGGGAGACTGTGTCAAAGGCTTTGCTGAAGTCAAGGTAGACCACATCCACCGCTCTGCCATCATCCATCCACCGTGTTATTTCCTCATAAAAGGCTAAGAGATTGGTCAAACATGATTTCCCCCTGGTGAAGCCATGTTGACTGCCCCTCATAACCCTCTTATCCTTGATATGCTTTAAGATGGCACCAAGGACAAGGTGTTCCATCACTTTCCCAGGGATGGAGGTGAGGCTGACCGGTCTATAGTTACCCGGGTCCTCCTTCTTGCCCTTTTTGAAGACCGGAGTGACATTTGCCTTCCTCCAGTCCTCAGGCACCTCTCCCGTTTCCCAGGACTTGGTAAAGATGATGGCGAGTGGTCTAGCAATGACTTCCGCCAGTTCCCTCAGCACCCGCGGGTGCATCCCATCTGGACCCATGGATTTATGGACGTCCAGATTGCTCAACTGATCTCTAACCCATTCCTCATCGACTAAGGCAAGTCGCTCCGTCGACCTGACTTCATCTAAGGTCTCAGGGGTATAGGGCTCTTCAGGACTGCCTGCAGCAGAGTAGACAGAGACAAAGAAGGCATTCAGTAACTCTGCCATCTCTGCATCTTCTGTCACCAGGGCACCCATCCCGTTCATCAGTGGGCCTACATTGCCTCTGGTGTTAGTTTTGTCTGCCATGTACTTGAAAAAGCTCTTTTTGCTGTCCTTGACCCTTCTTGCCAGGTTTAATTCTAAGGAAGCCTTAGTCCTCCTAGCTGCCTTCCTACATCCCCTAGCAGCAGCCTTATATTCCTCCCAAGTGGCCAGCCCCTCCTTCCATGACCTGTAAACTCTCCTCTTCCACTTGAGCATACCCAGCAATTCCCTATTTAGCCACACAGGTCTCTTGGCCCTCTTCCTTGACTTCCTACGTGTCGGGATGCTCCGATCTTGAGCACGGAAAAAGCAGTCCTTGAATGTCAACCAACTATCTTGGGCCCCTTTTCCTTCAAGCAGCCTTGCCCATGGGATTTCCCCTAGCAATTGCTTGAAAAGGCCAAAGTTTGCCCTGCTAAAGTCCAGGGTTGCAATTCTACTTGGTATTCTACTAGTCCTACCACACAAGATCCTGAACTTCACCATCTCGTGGTCGCTGCAACCAAGGCAGCCCTCTACCCTTACTGCTTCAACCAGACCCTCCTTGTTAGTGAGGATGAGATCCAGCAGCGCTCCTCTCCTGGTCGGCTCATCCACCATTTGCAGGAGGAAGTTATCATCCACACACTGGAGGAACCTCCTGGACTGCGGCTGGGTTGCCGAGTGGTCCTTCCAGCAAACATCAGGGAAGTTAAAATCCCCCATGACGACCACGGCCTGTGACTGTGAGGCCTCTCTCAGCTGCCTGTAGAAGGCCTCGTCAACTTCCTCACCCTGATCCGGTGGTCTGTAACAGACACCTACAACAGTATCGCCCCTGCCAGCCTGCCCCTTAATTCTCACCCACAGACTCTCAACTCGCTCATCATCTGCCCCCAGACAGAACTCGGTGCATTGTAGTTCCTCCCGCACATAAAGAGCAACCCCACCACCCTTCCTGGCTGGCCTGTCTTTCCTAAAAAGGACATAGCCCTCCATGACTATATTCCAGTCATGTGAGCTGTCCCACCAAGTCTCTGTAATTGCCACCAGATCATAGTCTCCTGACTTAACACAGGTTTCCAACTCCTCCTGTTTATTTCCCATGCTCCGCGCATTGGTGTACAGACATTTCAGGGAGCGAGCTGAGCACACCGATTTCACCCTAGGATTATAGGAGGCCTCCCAGTCTTCATCAATTCTGGAGTGCTGCCCCACTGGGGCAAGCCCAGCAACAACCCCATCCCCCTTCGAATCTAGTTTAAAGCTCTCCAAATGAGCCCTGCTAATTCGTGCCCCAGTATCCTTTTGCCTCTGTGAGACAAACCTTTCTCACTTGACATTGTCCAGACTGGTGCCCTATAAAACCAGCCATTATCAAAGAATCCAAAGCCCTGCCTGTAGCACCAGTCTCGTAGCCAATTGTTCATGAACTGAATCTTCCCATTCCTTCCCACATCATCAGTGGAAGATGGAAGGAGTGCGGAGAAGATCACTTGAGCCCCAGACTCTTTCACCATCCTCCCCAAGGCCCTGTAGTCTTTCTTCATCCCCCTCAGACTGCGGGAAGCAGCTTCCTCCCCACCTGTCTGGAAGACCAGCAGCGGGTAGTAGTCTGTCGGGTGCACCAGGCTGGGGAGCGCCCTGGTGATATCCCTGATCCGGGCTCCAGGCAGACTACACACTTCCCTGTGATGAGGGTCAACTCTGCATATCGGGCCCTCTGTTCCTCTCAGAAGGGAATCCCCTACTACAATGACCCTTCTTTCTTTCTTAACAGAGGCAGTCCTGAGGTGCAAAGTCGACCCCCTTTTCCTATGTGGCCTTGTGGGCTGGCCTTGCCCCACATTCTCACTTACCTCTCCTTCAAGATCCAGGGCCTCGAACCTATTACGGACGGACACCTGGGGAAGCAGGGCAGGAAGGGGGGAGGGTTTCTCCCGACGTCGAACCGGAACTCGCTTCCAACCCTCGTCGTCAGTAGGAGTAAGAGCAGACAGGGCTGTGTCTCAGGCTTGGTAAGAAGGCTGGGCTTTTCTTTTTCATTCCAGCTGATTAAGCTGATTAAACTACGGTACTTGGGCATGAATGGGAACTGGTAGTCTGGTGCTGCTGAGCAGTGAGGCAGTGATAACATGAAATTCCACACTGGGTATGATTTACTTTGAGGTTATGGAAACAGGAAGTTTACAGATGGTTTCTAGGCCCCTGAGAGTATTACTAACTTTAGATGGTGGATGAAGCAAGTTCTGCTGTTGTGAAATCTTGTGGGAAGTACAGGCTCCATTTGCATTTCTTAAGTCATAGAAATGCATAAATATACCTCTGTCTGCAGTGCAAGCTCCCAGTGAAAGCAGGGCCTGCAGACAAGCTGCAGAGCCCAGGGAGAGAGCAGCTACTTCATACGTTCAGGCTATTTTGCAGGATTTGAAATGGAGCACAAAAAGAGCATATCAAGAACTTTTCTAAGAGGGTTTTAGCATTTCCCCTCTTACAAAGTGTGTAGGCAATAGAGAAGCATAGGCAAATGTCGACTTTAGCAAACGTCCCAGAGCTTTGAGTTCATTTTGTGGCTGTAATTAAAGTTTGGTGTTTCTTTTATTTGGAACAGATCGTGTCTTCCCAAAACAAAATGGAAGGAATTACCCAAGGGATGGTTTAACTTTCTGGTTTGCTTCCTCTCTGTCTCAAGATTTCCAAAGTACATTACACAAAACCTCTTTGTACTGAGGGCTCTGGGTGGGGCATTAGAGAATAGAATCATACAGCCATTTAGGTTGGAAGACACTTTAAGATTGTCAAGTCCAAGTGTTAACCTACTGCTGCCAAGTCTACCAGTAAGCCATGTCCCTCAGTGCGACATCTACACGTCTAAATATCTCTAGAGATGGTGACTTCAGTGCCATGAGCAGCCAGTTTCTCCGGGAGAATGGTATCAAAAGCTTTACTAAACTCTAGGTGGACAACATCCACAGCCTTTCCCTCATCTACTGAGTAGGTCACCTTGTCATAGTAAGCGATCACATCAGTCACACCGGACCTGCCTTTCAATATGCTGACTGGGCCTGACCATCTTGTCCTGTACATGGCGGGTGGTGGTACTAAACGTGATCTGCTCCATAACCTTTCCTGCCACTGAGGAAGTTATTGACAGGCCTGTAATTCCCTGGATCCTCCTTCTGGCCCATCTTGTAGATGGGGGTCCCCGTAGCTCACTTCCAGTCAACTGAGACCTCTCTGGTTAGCCAGGACTGATGATGAATGATGGAAAGTGGCTTGGTAAGCACTTGATGGCTCCCTCAGTACCCTTGGGTGGATCCCATCTGGCCCCATGGACTTGTGTGTATCTGAGTGGTGTAGCAGGTCACTGACCTTTCCCCTTTGGATCATGGGGGCTTCATTCTGCTAATGAATATACTTGGTGGTTGCTGGGTAACTTTATGGTATGTCATTAAGAGACTTGGAAGACTGTACGTGTACTCTGGGAAAACACTGTGTTCTGATTCAAAATCCTCTGTTGGCTTGATGTTTGCTTCCTTCTCCCATGAAACAAAGCCAGGTCCTGCATCTCGTGCAGGCTCTGTCAGCTCCCCTTGGAGCCAGCAAGCATTGTGTTTGTCTGTGAGCAGAATTAGTGGTGCCTCCTCAAGTCAGTATATCCTGGGAAAGAAACTGCAGCTGACAAATGTTGTTATTGCATGATAATTTACACTCCACAAACCACTCATCAGGAGAGCCATAAAACCCAAAACTTCCTGTGCTGATATTCTGCTCGAGGGCTAAAATATTGATTGCTTGAGAAAACAGGGCTTCTATTTAGTAAGTGTCTCTGGCTTTTGCTGTTAGGCTGATGTCCTAACTGTTAGAAAGCATGTGGCTGGAGAGGAGCACCCCTGCTCCAACAGATAAGAGAAGATCCCACAGGTTTCCCATAGTCGGCTCAGAGCTAACCTGGCATCTCCAGGAGCTGCCTCTGCTCCTCTTTCTAACTGGGAGGTTGACCCTGCTTCCAGGCTTTGCAAAAGCAGCCCTATCCCTCCCAAGCACTGGTGTTATTAAAAGAAATCTGTTTTGGGGTGGGTTGCATGGTTATACTGCACTGGTGTGCTCTTTCTTTTGCAGAAGTCCAGGCTGTTCTCCTCTCTGACATGCTCGTATTCCTTCAGGAGAAGGACCAGAAGTACGTCTTTGCCTCACTGGTAAGGCTTCAACCTTTAGTCCCCCTTCATTTTCCATGTTAGAGACCCTTGATGTGTGTCGTGCAGTAAGCAAGCTGTAGCCTGCTAAATAACTTAATTTTCTTGCCTATAACATTTCGTTTGCTGAATAAACCGCGGTCTTTTTAATAGGAAAACATGTCTTCATGCCCAACCTCTCCTTTCTGCAGTGCTGTGGCACAACTGATAATTGGCCTTGAAAACCTGCTTGTCACTTGATACACTCACTCCTTTTCTGTTTGTGCAAATTAAAGCAGTGATCGGGGTAGGAGGGAGCAATGGGATAATACAAACATTGTAAAAATTAATCTTAGCAGAAGGAATATATTGTGAGCTGCTACGGGGGTGGGGTGCTGAAATGCCACTGTTGTAAATTCAACAGAACAGCTTGAAAATAAATGTCAAAGGAATAGATTTGTAAGGCGTAAGACCAAAACCATTAGCTTTTGAAGACAGGCCTCATCAAAGGACAAGGCACACTGACCTGCTAAAGAAAGCCTAGCACCTAATTGACTCTGTTGGGGCTGTACCTTGCAGGCATGGTCTAGACTGGCTAAGCCTTGTGACCTTTCCACTCCGTGAACATTGTGAAAGCTGATGATTTGTTATTGCAGTTCCACCAATGATCAGCACAGACTCAGTGCCCTGCAAGGTGGGGGGGGACTGATTTACACACAAGTCTTGCTAGTGAACAGCCACCAACTCACCCCAGTCACAGCATCCTGTAAAAGGCCCAAGGGAGCTGACTCATCTGCGGATGACACAGCAGCAAAAGGTCCTTTCAGCCGAGCAGGCTGGTTGTACAGACCAGAGCACACAATGAACGTCATCTTACACACAAGTCTTCTCCATCCGGAGTCAGCTCTGAGCTTCTGAGAACAGCAGGGGTTTTGTGGGATTTGAAAACAAGATGTTACTCCATCCTAGGGAGAGATTGTGAAGATAATGCCTGTGAAGCAGGCGCTAGCAAGCTGTGCTAAGTCTAAGGAGCTCTGATATTAATGACAGAGAGAGTGTGGGCAGGAGATGAGATCAAAGGTCTGCTGGAGTTAGGGCAAAACATGGGAGAGTTTGCAAAACCACAGGGTCAAATTTAAATTAATTCCTCGTTGAAATGGAACTAGGTGGAATTGCTTTTCCTGCAAAACTACTGAAGGAAAGCAAACCCTTCCCTGTTCTTTGGATCCCATTAAAATGATTTATTTTGTTAATTAGCAGTAGGTTCAGAAGATGTTTACAACCTGAGAGAGGCAGTAGTATGGGTATTGGTTATTCTCAGTGCTAGTTGAGCACTAGCACTGTTCACCCTCCTCACCTGTTTCTTTCCCTCTGAAGGACCAGAAATCCACTGTGATCTCTCTGAAGAAGCTGATTGTACGAGAAGTGGCTCATGAAGAGAAGGGTTTGTTCCTCATCAGTATGGGTGTGAAAGATCCTGAAATGGTGGAAGTCCACGCCAGCTCCAAAGAGGAGCGTAATGGCTGGATACAGATCATTCAGGACACAATGAACACCATGTAAGCTATGAAGCTATTCTTGCAAGGTGCAAGATGATGCCCGTGGTCATGTCCTGGTAGTAATTGAGCTGTCTGTTGTCCAGGGATAAAGATGAAGACGAAGGAGTCCCCTGTGAGTCTGACTTTGAAAAGAAGGTGTCAGATGCAAAAGTGAGAGGACTGAAAGGTAAAATCCTGCCTGGAACGGAGCTGGGGAGTGGTTCTGAAACATTTACAGGAATTGTTATGTTGGAATTTGTGGTTGAGCCATGGCTTTTTTCAAATGAGGAAGAATCCAGCATCCAGCAAAGAACTGAAATCCTTGCTTGCACCTCACCTTGCTTGCATTGCTTACCTTCTGAGCCTGGTGGGTGCTGTTACTGTGCGGGATTGCCCAAGGCATGGTTGTATGGTTCCTGAGGTTCCACTAGATGGGGCCAGTATCTCGGGAATCGCTCAGTTTTCTTGCCAATGCTTTTATTTTCTTCATCTCTGTTTTCTGTTCACCCCCACAGAACAACTTCAGCAGAAGGATAAGCAGATCCTCCTCTTGCTGGAGGAGAAGGCCAAGATCTTCCGGGACATGGCAGACAGTTCTGTGCAGGAGGACATGCCAGGCTCCAGGCTGCTCTTCAGAGCCAACACAGAAGAGGCACCAAAAGGAGAGGCCATCATGAAAACTGCAATAAATGAAGGTGAGCAAGTGAGGATGACACGTTAATTACACTAACCAATGGACCCACCTTCAGTGAAGCCATCCATCCTCAACCACCAGTTTTGGAGGGCAAATCTTCTCTTTATCAGAACAGAGCATAGATAAAGAGATATTGCTACTGACAGCATTGTCTCAGGTACAAAGTAATGAGGATCAGGAAAGGAAGCAGATATTGATGGCTGCTGAAAGAGGGCAGGAAAGAAATTAGCGCAGAGAACAGCCATGCATTGAATCTGCACTGGGGTCAGGAGCAGAGCAGGATTTATCCTTGACTGAAATTTAGTCAGGCTTTTGTATGCTTCAGGCTCAGCAAGGTGTGAAAGCAGGGCATGGGTTCCAGCTGTCGCACCTTGATGAGACACAGATACCATCATGCTTGTGGTATCTGCAAGGAGTCTTTTGACTATGGTGTGATTTTTGGAGAGGCTAAAAATTATTAAACTATGTTGTCAGAGCACACCAGGATTGCCTGGAGGAAGAGAGGGAGGTGTAAGCCTGTGCAGAGGTCCGTAGTGGAGTTAATGATGAAGCAGACTGAGATTTTGCAGGGAGAATGCGTACTGTTCATAACATTGTCATAGAAACATGGTTTCTTAGTACAGCAAAGCATGTGAATTTCTGATCTGAGCTCAGATTAAAATAGTTTAGAAGACCAAAATGGTCTTTAACAGAGATATTGTTGCTTTTTATCAGTTGAACTGCTGCAAGACCTGGTGAACAGGAGCCTGGGCACTGCCCTCGGACAGCAGGTCAGCAGCACTGCCATGGAACAAGGAGGAGGAGTTGGCCCCATCTCTCTCCCTAGAAGGGCAGAAACGTTTGGAGGATTTGACAGTCATCAGATGAATGCTTCCAAGTGTGAGTAGTTACCTGTGTGCACATCAGCATTTGTTAATAATACATGTCATCATGTCCTCTTGCTTCAGAAGGACTCCAGCAGCTGGTGATTTGGGTTTCCAAACTCGTCTCCAGTAATAGTTGATCAATTAAATAACAGATTAAAACCAAAAAATGCTTAGGTACAGGTGAAATGATGGTGCTGAGAACCTGTGGCTACATGAGCATTAAGTATCTTAACTCCTTACTCCTCTTTTTCCATGCACTCTGTAAATCGTCCTTACTCCTTTACTTACATTCCACATGAAAGCATTTGTCTTCTTAACAGTTTTATCATGTTACTATGGTTGTATCTGCAGCTCTGTTCTTCTTCGGTTATTTTTCCAGCAGGAGCCTGGTGCTGTTGTTTGTGAATGGATGAGGATATTGCTGAATCAAGCACCTTCTCCCCTGGCTCTGTTCTCTATGCATACAAGTGCATGTGTTACTCCTGCAATTAAGTCTATCCCAAAGAAACGTGTGAATATTTATTTCAGCTGCACAACTGGCTGCTTCCCAGTGCTCTCTTTCTTTGCCCTACTCACCAGAAACTTCCCTGTCCTCAAATTCCTTTCTCTGTGGTCTCTCTCATACTCCCAGTCCAGCCAGTTTTGCTGCGCTAGTGTCTGTCTCAGCATTGGGATTGTTGGACCTTGTCTGACCTTCTGCATTAAAGGAGCAGTGTTAGCTCCAGACAGTCAGACATGAGAAGTATGTAGAGGTTTTCCCAGCTCTATTGGAAAGCTGCAAAGCCCTCCACAGGCCTTGTCATCATAATGACAAATAGATTCACACTGGAGGGGGTTGTTTAGGGTTCTGCCTCCCTATGTAGCAGTGATGAATGGGACAACCTCAAGCTATCCAGCTCTAGTTTTTCTATAGAAATGTCCTCTTTCGGATTAGATTGTAATTCGGTAGTTGTAGGGTCTTGGGAGAATTTGGGGAAAATATGCAGGGTCTGTTTGTTCAGCTGGAGGGCAGGAGGCATGAAACCTGGCTTTGATCTCAGATCTTCTGTTCACAACCTTGGGCAAGGCTTATAACCTGACTCCCCTTCGTTCTCCCCTCCAGCAAAGCAGAAGGGAGGTGTTTCCTCCTGCAGAGAGGTGGAAGGTCCCAGGACGTGGCGCAGGAGAGAAGGTCTGTTAGGAGGACTTGAGGGTCAGCCTTTAATAGCAAAGCCTGCCTGGGGGGTGGTGGGAGGAGAGGGCCTTTGCACTAGATGCGTTGACTTTCACATTGCTGCAGATGCAGGTGTATGTAAAGTTGTTTATCATTACAAGAGCGACAGCTGGGAGGTTACCACTGCAGGTGTGGGTTTTCCTCATCTCAGCCGGTAAGGGAAGTGCAGGAGTCTTGGAAAGAGCTTGAGGACTAAGAGCTGTGTCACTCCTTCACTGCCCATGAGCAGAAGGGCAGTGTGGATGGAGGGTTGCAGCCCTCCTGGCCTCATAAGTCAGTTCAGTCCTGCTCAGAAGCACTGATATTATCCATCCAGGGAAGTCAGAGGTACAGATAGCCCGTGATAGATACAGGTTGAAGATAATTGAGGTTAAGGAAAAAATTAGTATAAAATTACACAAAGGTGTTGCACAGCAGTGTCTGACCCAGTAAATTGCACTTGCACAAGAGAGGCACTGCAATAATATACCCTGATACGATACTGTTGCTGTTCTCCATCTGCTCTTACTCTGCCTCATGTCTTCTCAGCAAGTATTCTTTAGTAGCAGACAGCAGCACAGGGGCTGGACAAAGCACCGATGAATGTGTGCTGAATGTATCAGCACATTATCTGAAACCAAAGTCAGTCCTTATCTGAATTCACATTCACTATCTCTGGTGGTGCTGACGTGTTCCATATATGTAGGGAGCGAATGCATTTAGTTAAAAGTGTCAAAAGCTCTGTGCCCCCTTTTGTGAAACATCTAAGTTTCCTGTATTAAATTTCTCCGACATTAGCAAGTTCATACGGCTTAAAACTGTTGAATAACCAGTGGCAATGCTGGCTTCTTCCTTTAGGTGGAGCGAAAGATGAAGGCGAGGATGCTCAGGACCTTCGGAGAACAGAGTCAGACAGCATTTTAAAGAAGGTATCCCTCAGTTTATCTGTCTGCTGCCACTGAATTCAGATTTGAAGAGAGTCACAGTTTTAGTCTTGGAAAAGCCTGAATTTCTTGACAATTAGATGTATCCTAATAAGTCAAAATAAAACAAAATTGGAAGTATGCAGCCAAAATACTTTGCTGTAGCTAAAATCCTGACTTGAAGATCATTGCAGATCAGTTGTATTCCTTTGTGGCACAGGTTATCTGCCATCTGTCTGCAGATCAGCTGAAGCATGTGTTTAATTACACATCATTATTGAAATGCTAAGGTCAACTATAACCTTGCGCCTCGCCTATTCTTGCTGTGGATTGATGCGTCATATAACTAGAAAATAATCCCTAATTAACATTTTATTAGGTATGATTTTAACTTGCCTAAAAAGCATGCAATGAATTCTCAAGAATGGAAGATGAGTGCAGGGGGGTTAGTGGGTCTGTCATTAGTTCAGCTTCAGAACACATTTGCTGTGATTTCTCATTGTCCCCATATTAAATCTGCGATCTTTTTGTAGGGTGGAAATGCTAATCTGATGTTCATGTTGAAAAGGAATAACGAGGTAAGAATTGATTCCGTTGCTCAGCTGTTTCCTTCGTTTAAGTGGCAAGTGAATTTGTCTCAATAGGTAATAATGTAGAAGAAACACATTTCATTTGCTGAAGCGCATGCAGACTTTTAAATACATTAAGTTAAACCCACTGTGTCATTTATTTGTTTAACCTTGGATGTTCAGACAGGGAATTCACTGATTGTCATCTGCTTGCCAGCAGGATGATATCTGCTGATTATAGGCAGCAAGGGTTAATTACCGTGAGGATGCACAGGGCTGTATTTATTGTGCATCTGCAGACAGAGGGAGTTTAATTTCGTTGCAGGTGCAGTGAATGGGGCAATTAGATTTCTATTCTCCCTTTGATACACATTCATAACTCCCAATTAGCATTAATGGCACAATGAGAAGCAGTTCTCAACGCTGGCTATCACACCACTACTGCAAATACTGCAGTGGGTTTTCTTCTTCTTAAAAGTAATTGTAGGATAGGAGAGAATCAGGGAAATTTTTAGCCAGGGATAGGGCATCACTTTGAAGTAGCTTGCTCTGTGTTGATGCACGATGTGTTCACATTTACCTGTGTTTTCAGAGAGCCTCCATGAGCACACCTGCTACACTTGTGGGCCTGCTGTATTGCAGTTTTTCTGTTTAATGACAGAGGGACTTGTTTGGGTCAGCCAAGGGTGGGAGAGTACAAATAGCCCATATTCATTTTAAGATATCTTTTTTAGCCCCTTGAAGTTCTTTCCAGGGAATTTTTCACCAAACTGCTGGGTTTCATCCCAGTTGCTCTGCTTGTTCCTGAGCAAGCTGATGCTGTGGGAAATGGTTTGCAGAGACAACCCCAGAGTTCCCAAGATAAAAAGAAGGTGTAGAGGGATCCCTGTACTTGTCAGACCCCTAGTGGGTCACAGTAGAAAAGTAGTGGGCTTTATGTGTACCCTGGCACCCAGTGAGATCTAATAGCAGTGCTTTTGTTTTCTCGCAGCAGGTCCTCCAAACCATTACCAGCCTCCATAAGCTGCTCAGTGCTTTGCAGGTAGGCTTAGCCATTCATCCTGCTTCTGCGTGCTGTATGCCCAAACTGCACATTGTGTTTCACTCCCATCTCCCCTTCCCCTTTGCCTGTCGCATCCCTGTGCAGCTGCATGCTCCACGGCCAGCATTGCCAGCAGGTCATAGGAATGAGCTGCTGCCTAAGTGGGAGAAAAAGGAGTTTAATGCAGCACCCTGAGGTTTTCAGGTGTGGAGCCTCTTTCTGTGGAGAGGGTGTTGCAGTGATTTGTGTGCCCTCTCTCCTAGGGTGTTGTGCTGCAGCAGGACACCTACATCGAGGACCAGAAGCTGGCTTTGAGTGAGAGGGCTCTGACCCGAAGCTTCTTCCGGCCAACCTCACTGCTGGAGCAGGAGAAGCAGCGCAACCTGGAGAAGCAGCGCCAGGAGTTGGCCAACTTGAAGAAGCAGCAGACGCAGCACCAGGAGGAGAGGCGGAGGAGAGAGAAGGAGTGGGAAGTTCGGGAGAAGGAGCTGGCGGAGCAGGAGGCCCATTTGGCCCAGCGAGAGGAGCAGGTCCAGAGAGGGTGGCAGGATCTTGAGCGGGAGCGAGAGGAGCTGCAGGTGAAGAAAGCCTCCTACCAGCTTGACCTTGAGAGGCTTCGCACGGCACAGAAGCAGCTGGAGAGGGAGAAGGTGCAGTTCAAGCAGGATGTGGAGCGGTTAGCTCAAATGCGGCAGGAGTCAGACCACAACCAGGTAAATGATGCCAATGGCCAGGCTGCTGGGGAACCATCCATTCCCTGGTGGGAGCTCCCAGCTAGCTCCTAAGCCAGTGGCATGCCAGCAGGGATAGACATGCACCAGTCCAGTCCTAGACATGCCAGGCCAGGTATTAAAACTGGCTCTTCACTTGCATATGATGTGCAGGGCTGCATTTCTTGCATCTCCAGAGCTGCCAGTGTTGATGCAACATGGTGTATTTGGGATGCCTGGCCAGTCCTGAGCAGAGGTGGCTGGCTTGCAGAGAAGATGCTGTAGGCAGTCTGGTGCCTAGAGGGTCGATACTGCCTTTGACATTGGCCTTCACCCATGGGGGCTGAGCTCTGGGGAGCAGTCAGGTAGACAAGACGTCCTTCTCAGCCTGATCATTGTGAGTTACCTGCACCCTCCAGCTGCCACAAAAGCCACTTGTGAGGCTTTTAACTGCAGGAGAAGCCTGTTTGCACACTTACATCCATCTCCAGAAGTATTCTCGATACCTAGCAAAGAGATAGATGTTGTCTGTGTCCTAAAGAGACTGGGCACCTGAGCGAGCAAAGGTTCTCAGCTCTGCTGCAAGAGGCTTCTAGTACCTGGCTGCCCATAGATCTTGTCTGTGCAGTTTTCTGCAAGCTGGGGTTTATCTTTCTTAGACCTGTGTCTGACTGAGGAGAGCAAGCATCCGTAGGCAAAACATAGGTTGAATTTGATCCTTAAGCCTGTTGTTGATCATTTGTTTGTTTGTAACTTGCTAATTCTCAGTGTAATTTGCTTACAGCTGTAGCAGAATTAGTTTATAAATGTTGGCTTGTGGGATGGAAATGATTTTGGGTGCCTGAATGGATTAATTGCGGAGCTCAGCAGTGAGCTCTGAAAAGCAAATCATCAGAGGAGGGCTTGCTCCCTCCCACCCTGGTTCCTGATCAGGCCAGTTGTTTTCTGAGCACACAGTGAAGCTGTTCCAGCATCGAGCGCACATAATTATGAGAGGGGCATGGATGCTGTGGGAGAGGCCGAGAGGTAAAATAGCTGCGAGGGGGATTAGGAGAAGGAAGCACGTTTTTGAGGCAGGTATCTCGCTGACATTTCAGAGCTATTAATAGAGGGTTTGGTGAGGCTTTGTTGAGCTGTTGTTTTGATCTTCCCTTTGAATGTTGGGGCTCAATTACATCCTGAGACAGCCGTTAGGGGAGAAAAAATAGAAGGCAGGAAAACTGTTTTGCTTTCATGTTTTGCTTGGGAAGGCTTCCTTTGACACATGCTGCTCCAGTGCTGCGTGCTGGCGTTCCCCTCCCGGAGAGGCACGCTTCTCCTTGGCCTCCTGCCACCGTCTGTGTGCACAAACGGTGCAGGGTGAGTCTTGGTATTGAGATCTTAGAGAATGTTTGCCCTTGGCTTGTTGATACATAGCATAGTACATGTAGGAGCAAAAGATAACTGGAGCGTTACTCTTTATATGCCTCATTTCTTTGTCTTAAACAGAGAGGGCTCCTTCTCTCTTTGCTTTGCATGGATGGAGACCACTTTTTGCTGGTGAATGGGATGGATGTTCACAAGAATAGCCTGTTTCTGAGTGGTCTGGGACACACCTTTCATATCTAGTTTCTCTCCTAGCCTCTTTCATGCCCTAATGAAGCGCCTTTCCTTTATAGGTTTCAAATCTACACGAGAAACTTGCGAGAGTCTCGTCCCAGTCCAGCATCGATGAATCCTCCAAGCAGAAGAGCCCTTCCCTTCCTAAACAGGGGCACTTTGATGCAGAACTGTCTGTTTCCCCTAAAAGGAACAGTCTTTCAAGGACACACAAAGAGAAAAGCACTTTCCATTTGCTTAGCACAACAAACCAGACTAACAAGGCAGCTGAGGAACAGCCCCAGATGCCTACTCGCCTCTTCAGTTTAGCCAAACCAAAGGACAAGAAGGAAAAGAAGAAAAAGGGCCGGGGACATCGCTCCCAACAGTCTGGTGAGTGTCAGGGGAGGTCAGACATGTGTTTTGAGGATTGCTGAGCTGACATTTTGCTCCAGCCACTGAACTTGTGGAAGCCATGAAACCTTGGATGTAGATGATAACACAGGGATAGAAGATCATCAGCTGTGATGAGTGGAGTCCTGGCTTGAAGTGATCTTGTGTGGGCTTTTCTCTGTTCTGCAGCCCCTGAGGTTGTCAGAGGGACACACTGTGCTCCTTTGCTCCTTTCCTGTACCATCCAAGCACCCTTCATGGGCTGAATTCTCCCTTTATTTTTCAGCTTGCCCTGCTTTGTGGAGGAAAATGTCCTGCTTCAGTGTATGGGCTTTCATGAGCTGCTGCTGGGATGCTCCTGGCTGTTGCACCCCCTGACACGTTACTGTCTGCTTTAACTCTGTTCTACTTTGGAAGTGATATCTGCAGCCTTTCTGGTGGCCTCTCCCTTCCTCTCAAGCCAGTCTGTCTTGTCTCTTGATCTGAAAAGACAGAGATGGTAGTTTTGCATCCCCTTAGGACTTAGTTCTGAACCTCAAACCTCTGACCCACATGAAACAAAATCTCAGGCCCTCAGCTTTATCTCTGCAGTAACTCACTGGTTTCTAACTTGTGCACAGGGAAGCTCACCAGGGAGGAGATGTTATTTCAAGGTAGCTCATCAGGGAACTGTTCATCTTTTTAAGGTGCCCAGTGGATTTGGCAGCCAAGCAGGGTTTTCACGCATGTGGAGTCCCGCTCTGCCTGCTGTATTCCCATAATGATTCCCACTTGTTCTTTTGTGCTGCAGATTCTCACTCGTCAGAAGCACCTCCAGAGGGTGAGGAGATCTTCTGCTGAGCACGGATGGTTCCATTGGTCACTCTCAGCTTTGGTACATCTCCCTGCCTGCTCCGCAGCACGGTGCTGGTGCCTGCATCTGACGAGCATCTGGAGTTTTTATATATAACACGTTACAAAGTCTGTTCAGTGGTGGGCAAGGGCCTCTCTCCTGTGGTTTTGGGTGAATTCTCACCTTAGAGGCTGACTGCATGGCAAATAGTACCATCTCTCTGTGCAAACCTTGGGTTCAATGGATTGGGATAGATGTTTTCTGTCTCTTCTTACTGCTAAAGGATGTGAGAACATAGCCTTAAGGGGTCTGTGCCTTCAAATTCCGCTTTTCCAGGGAACATAACCAAAACCAAGCATTTAGCAAAAGATTAGGACTCTGCAAATGGTGCGTATACACTGGCATATATAGATATACTGTATATATACATATATGTATCTATGTATCCACTGGGATATGCTTACAGTCTGTACAGCCAAGCTTAGCTTGGCCCATGGGGATAGATGATACCTGATGACTTTCAGGAAGTGTGTAGATATTAAATATCTTGCCTTTACTGCTCCTGTTGTAATGTCATTGACTTGCACACCTCTTTTGTGCTCATGGTATAGGGACTGTTTGGTTTCAGGAAAGTACTTTACACCAGGAAGCAGTAACAGCAAAAATTCAGAGGGAAAAAAAAAATCAAATTTCAAGCTATTCCAAAAGATTTCCATGGGGCAGAGGGATTTAAATGTCAAACTGTTTCCAGAATCAAGCAGAATGGCTTTGGGTATATTTAAAACACTGCAGAAAAGAGCAATTTGGTAGGCTTGTAAGGCAACCCCAGGGAGCCAGAGCAGACAGTGCTGAAGTGGGAACAACTCTAAGCAACATCTTTTTTTATGCAGTCCCTTTGAGCTCCAGGTCATTCCTTCCCATCCCCTAAGGAGTTTTTTCTTGCCAGGATGTAGTTCTTCAGTTGCATTTGACATCCGTTCATTACGAGCGTGATGACTTGCTGGAGAGATGGCTGAAAATCTGTTTTTAGGGACCTTTGTTCTGGTACTTGTATTTTTCCTGCCCCGTTTTTTTTTTATGTTACTGTTGGGCTTCTGTTTCTCTGGATTTTGTCAGCTTCTCTTTCTCGTTTCTCAGGCAGAATGAGACAGCAGCAATTTCAGAGCACTTCAGTGAGACATCGCAGGTCAGGGCCTGAGAGTGAACTCCAAAGAGGCAGCCCCTCATCCTTATGCCTATAAAGCACCATGCACTTATTAACCATTTCTAGGGAGAAAAATCTGTTCATGCGGACAAAACCACCGTGGGATAAGTGCAAAGGTCCAGCATGGCAGCTCCATTTCCACCACTAGGCTGAAAGTGTTGCTGTCAACAGAAGGGAAATGTCCAAGGGTGGCTTTTGCCGTGCTGGCTGAGGAGATTGTTCAGCTCTTGGATACAGGGATGTGTTTGGGGAGGGGAAGAGGAGTGCAGCGAGCCAGATTCTCTTCCAAAGTCGTTGTTCTTCCAGACCCTCTCAGGGGGGTTACCCCAGCAAACTTGTAAATGGTTATGAGATGCTATCAGCTTCTGAATAGCTCAAGGGTTTGCTCAGAGTTTGAAGCTTTAAAGTGCATTTCCTTTCCTAGCAGTTCCTCTTTAAAAAACAACAGTATTTCTCTCTTTGCACTATTGTTTGATTTCAGTTTGCTCTCTGGCTTCTCACAAGCTCAGCCCACAGCAGTGTTCAGAGCTTGGTGCTGATGAGTATCAGTGAGGTGGATGCTTAGACTGGTCTGTCTTGGTCAGTGCAGGAATCCTAAACTGCCTGCTTGCTTTTGAAGCTCTCTAAAACGTTAAGGTTTAAAGAAGAACAAAAAGAAGAAAGGAAAAAGGTTTGAGATTTATTTTTATTTTGCTTTTTTTAACTATTATTTGGTGCTTGTTCTTACTTGCAAGCAGGGCTTGCAGAAATATTTATCTTTCTGTTTATTTGAAAGAGTTCTTTTTTAAAAAGAAGTTTACTTGGCTTTATTTTTTTATTTCTTTTGACTTTGGCTTTTGTTTGGGGGGGTTGAGGGATGGTTTATTTTGGGTTTTCTTCATTCCCCCCTTGTTTTTTTGTTTTCTTACCAAGACCTTGGTAAACCAAATGTTCTTATCTCTGGCTCCTACAAGACCAGGGTTTGGGCAGTGCTGCTTTGCAGCCGATGCCATGCTCAGAGTTACGCAATTTCATCTGAGAGCTTTCTTTATGGCAGAGCATCTTTGGGGCTAAAAAGCCTGGGTAAAGCAATGAATTTGGGCAAGACTCCTCCTATTAGTTAGTTTCTTTAAGTATTTTATTTAGGTTTTCTCATCCCTCTTAGAGGCAAGGAAGAAGCAAAACATAGAGCATCTCACAGTGATGCGAGGGTCCAGTCGCTTCTCCAGTGAGATGCAGGCAGCTCTTCTGAACCTGAAGAGAGCCAAAGGAGGCAAGTGCTGGTGTTGTGGTGTTACCTTTTCATCAGAAAACCACCAATTTCAGAACATCCTGCCCTGCTATTTACACACCTGCAAAAAGGACTGTGCCAAGCTGGAATCTTTGGAAACCAAAGCAGTGCATGGCTCATTACTGCTGTGCAAACACAGATCAGGTTCCCGGTGTTTCTTGGAGTTCCCCTCAGTCTGTAACAGCCTTTGCTAGTATGAGCTTTTCTTTTTATCCCTCTGTCTTCTCCCCAGTCCCAACACATCTTGAATTCACAACATGGAAATGTCCCATGGCTTTGAAAAGGGCATCAGAAGGACTCAGGGCAACAGGGATCTGTCTGCCTGGCTTGAGCATCTCTCCTGGTCTGTGCAAATCAAAAAGAGCATTCAGTGCCCTAAGTGTGATATCCTAAGGTCCCTGTGCTTCCTTGTCAGAGCAAACAGGTGTGAGTCAGAAATACATTGACCAGAAATACTGCGTATCAAAGCTGTTTGTGTCTTAAATTCGGGTGGACAGACCTTTGTCCCTGGAGGATGTATGTTACTGTATGATTCACTTTTTGGAATGAAGCCTTTACTCCCACACTGCTTCCTCCTTCTTTCACCTTTAGGAAAGGAAGGGCTTGTTTTTATCTCTTCAGCCTTTTATTTTTCCCCGTCTCAGATTTTCTTTGGAAAGGCTTGGCAGAGGTTTCCAGAGTCAGATTCCCACTCTGATCCCTGCAGGTTGTCTGCTAGAGCATGGTCCCAGCTTGACAGCACCAAAGTCTTTCCTCTTCCTGGCCTTAAAATTGCATTTTACTCCAGTTCCATGCCTGGCATCCATCCTGCAACTGTTGAAAGTGTTATTTCTTCAGCCCAGCCTGATGCTGTATCTGGTTTCCAGAGCCAGTCCTTTTATCCCATTTGGAGCACCCAAACCACCCTGATTCGCTTTGGGCTCCTGGGACACAGAGCAAGCTTGAATATGTCTGTGCAATGCCATGTTGTTGGAGGGAGAAGAGAACCCTGAGAGGGATCTTGGAGCTTTCTGTGCTGGTGCTTCATGGAGGGGAGAAAATCAGACTCTCTTTTCTTGGACATTTCTTTGCCTGGTCATCTTCACTGCCCAGCAGAAGGGTTTCAGTGACCAGGTTGCTGGGAGCACAGGCTCAGATGAAGTGCAGGAGTGGTCAGTATTACCTGGGGGTGCCAAAATACCCCAGAGATAAAGAGTAGAGCTGTAGCAAATGGTGTGAGACTCGATGGAGTTGTGTGGGGTTGGCCTTAACCTTCTTTTAAATGAAGTGATCATCTCAACATGTAACTTGATGTCAGTTTGATGCCATAAAGCACTTTAAATGGAAGTGGTCTTGTCCCTTGTTATTTTGGTTACGTGGAGACAATCAGCTTTGCCATTGCTCCCCCCCTCTGCATCCCCAGCAAAATCTGAGCTCCAAGTAGGCATATTCCTGGTTTTGGTTTGGCTTTACCCCGGGAGGGGAGGAAGGGCCAAGCTTTTTGTATTAGTTTTAGACCAGAATGGGTGTGAATCTGACTACACTCCCAGTGCAGACAGGGTGAGTGGCAGGACCAGAGAACTGGCTTCTGATGGCTCAGGTATATCCCCTAGGAGAGCCCATGCTGGTGTCACCATCAACCATCCTCACAGCGAGTACTGCTGCCGGTGGGGAAGCAGTCCCACCAGTGGTTTGCCCTCCACCTCCTCCGTGGAGAAACCCAAAGCAAAGGAGATGTTGGTGAGGTGTGACCGAGTGAAGTGAGGCCCTTTCCATGCACTATTTCCATGCACTGTCCAGGCCATTGGAGACCTCCCAGGTACCATCCCTGGGGCAGGAGCTCTCGCCACTCCTGAGGGTGGACTCTTCACACTTGAAGTTTGACCACTGCTGAGAAGCACAGTAATGCCATTAGCTTGTGCAGATCTGTACTGCCTTTCGAAGGCAAGAGCATCCATGGAGTCCGATCATCTTTGCACCTTCTTGAGGCGCTAGGCTATCTCAAAGCTGTTGAGGAAACACACAAATCTAGTCCTCCCAAAAGCCCCAAGTCAGAATAGGTTCACCAGGTGCCAAATCCCAAGGAAAATGCATAGGATATGTGTGGCACGGGGCAGGGGAGGACTGGGCAGGGGGCACAAGAGAGAATCTGCTAAAATCCCACAAAACATTCCTTGTTAACCAGAACTCTGGAAATTATTCTGCCTGCTGGCCAGGTTTGGGAATTGAACATAATTTAAGGCACCCTTTTAAATAGGGAAACCTCCCTGCTGCTCATAACTCTTGCTTCACTTGTCAGAAGGGGCAGCAAGCAATGATTCTTGATCTGGTGACGCAGCTAAGCTTTAAAGATAGGTGAGCTGAACTGGCTTTTAATCCCATACCCCTCGTGCTCTTCAGCCATGGGAAGCATGATGCCAGCTCCCTTCCCAGCTGCATCCTCAGGGCTGGGTGCCCTTCCTTTCCACACACATTTCACTGACACTGATGCTTTGCCCAAATATATCCAGCTTCCGTTGCTTGGGGGGTGGGGGGAACAGGATAACAATCACTGCTTCGCATACAGCTACGAGCTTGGTATGTATTTAAGCTGTCTATAGGTATCCATCCTTTCCATGTTCTAAAGTATTTTACTACTTTCTTTATTGATATTAAACACTGTCTCAAAACCAAACCCCATGAAACCCATGTCCAGTTCAGCTTGCCTATGGTTAAAGTTTAGCCTGGAGTTTATTTTGTACTAATACGGAATGCACTTGAGTAATTCCCAGAGCGTTGAGGAGGTGTATTACAAGAACCCGATATACCTCTGCTTTTGGTTTGTTTCTTAAAAAAAAATTGAAAATAAATAAAAATGCTTTGCATTTTCATGTTGAACCTGTTAAAAAAAAAAGTTAAAAAAAGTTGAAAAAAAAAAAAAGAATTTTTAAAGAAGAGGGTAAACCCTAATTGCTGTATGTTAATTTGTAATTATGTACAAAGTGAGCAGGTTATTGACTGTAAAATTCTTCAGTTTTTCTGTAACTTGCCAGAAACCATTAGGTTTTGTAACAAGCTTTTATTTATCTTCCTTTTTAGTTATCGGCATCAACCTCTTGTAAAGTCATTTTTTTTCCTCTAAATAAATTTGATTTTAAGTCTGCGTTTTCTGCCCCATTTATTTCCACACCTTTGCTTTTTGTGCTGTTGACTTGGTAGCACTGATGCCGAATGAGCAGACATAAGCCTGACCTGCAATCAGATGTTTGCGCTGCTTTTATCATCTGGATTCCACTCTGTGCCCGTTGGACTCTTTATTTCCCTTCAAGACTTGTGTTTTGCTGGAGGGCTCATGGCTGTAATAATACTGAGCTTTGTACAAGAAGAGGAAGTGTCATAGGCGCTATCTCAGCCCCTTCAGCTCTGTAACCTGAGATAAATGTCAGTCTGGTGGCTGCTTGTGCTCTCCTATGGCAGAGAGTGTCCGTGTCTTCAGCAAGCCCCAGACACCAGGGGATTTATCTCATTTGGCAGAGGGAACTAAAGACCATAGCATCACATACTGGTTTGGGTTGGAAGGGACCTTAAGATCATCCAGTTCCAACCCCCTGCCACGGGCAGGAACACCTTCCACTAGAGCAGCTTGCTCCAAGCCCCTGTGTCCAACCTGCCCTTGGACACTGCCAGGGATGGGGCAGCCACAGCTTCTCTGGGCACCCTGTGCCAGCGCCTCAGCACCCTCACAGGGAAGAGCTTCTGCCTAAGAGCTCATCTCAGTCTCCCCTCTGGCAGGTTAAAGCCATTCCCTTTGTCCTGTCACTACAAGCCCTGGTAAAAGCCCCTCTCCAGGTTTCTTTTAGGGCCCTTTTGGCACTGGAAGCTGCTCTAAGGTCTCCCTTGAGCCTTTTCACCAGATGAGATGCAGATGCATCTCATCACAGGGATGGGGAGAGGAGGGGTGTTTGCACACAGGATGCTTTATGTGTTCCTCATCCCCTACAATGGGAGGCCCAGCAGAAGCATTCTAGCCCCTGAGGAGTTGAAGGTACGTGGTGTTCCAGTGTCTGCAGGCATCTGTCCAGGCAGAAGAGGGTGCCAAAAGTACAGAACCGATGCAGTTTGCTCTGCAGCGCAGTGGGGAGCCAGCAGAGAGGACCTGTGCCTCAAGTTTCTCCACCATCATTTTCTTGTCCCTGTAAAAGCAATCTCAGCTGCCCCTGTGCTGCTGGTCCTGAAGCATCCTCTCCCCAGTCAGAAGGAGCCAGGATACCTGCACCCTTCATCATCCCTTGGATATTGATCGTGAGGCCAAGGAACTGCTTCATTTCCATCTATGATTTCACTTGTCTTCAGAGGTGAGATAGGGAAAGAGAAGGGATGCTTGAGGAGAGCCAGTATCGATCAAAGCCTCCAGGTCATGGACATAGGCTTGGCAATGCTGGGTTGTTTAACAGGCGCTGTTGGGAAACGCCAGCCCGCCCTCGCGTGCCCCATTAGCCAGCACTGCCCCGTGTGTGCTTTTCCCCTCCTCTCCCCTTGTGCTGTTCTAAAAGCCTGACTCACGTCAATGCACCCAGCCCTGTCACGCAGCGCTCGCTCCGAGATGGGCGTGAGGCAGGAGATGAAAGAGCCGGGTTCCTCGTGTTATTTGTGTTCCCCTTCGAACCAGCTCTCGCCTATTTACTGAGGCAAATAAAAGCTTTCTCTGAACCCTCACCTCCTGTGAGCGGTGTTTCCCTGCAGCCCCTGTAACCGGAATGCCCATCGAAAGCACCGCTCTGAGTACCCCAAGCTGTGGTAAAACAAGGGTGGCTGCTATGGTACAGCAGGCACTGGTCATGGGAGGAGCAGGACAGCATTTACCGGTGGCAAATCGCATGCAGACAATCAAATTCCTGCTGAACAAAGCAAACCAGGCAGCCTGAGCTTCTCTGGTCCTGCACAGGACAACCAGACCCCCTCTGCTCCTATAGGCCAGAAAGGAGAGCACAATGCAAATTGCCTTTGGAAGAGAACAAAAGTGAGGACCCCCCCCCCCAGCCATCTCTATGTGGCAATTTGAGTATCCTAAACCAGCTTTCCACATTTTCATCTGCAGTCCGTGCTCTGAGCCTCTACAGCACAGCCAATACATTAAATGGGTATTCACCCCACATGGGTCAGTTATTTCAGGTGGTCCCCGAGCAGTAGTGATGTGTTCATGAGCATCCCAAGTTTCTTGCCCAGCCCCAGCTTTTCCTTAGCAGCCAAGGGCAGACCAAAAGATCCCTGCGGGTCCATGTGATGGGACATGTAGATGTGGATGGATTTACACTGGCCCTTGTCACCTATAAGGGGTCAGAAAGGATCCTTACATTTGGATGGGGCTCTAAAAGGACACTGACAGGCACTGGAGAGGCTCTTTGGAAATGGAGTTTAGTGACAGCTTTAACACCTGCATTATCTGTGTTTCTCTTTTCCTACCGTTGCTGGGTTTAGTCCTAGCACTGTCTCCAGGGTGAGAACTGGGTGAGCTGGGCTGGGGCTTGCAGACAGGCTGCTCATTCATGACGGCTTTATTAGGAGAAGGAAAGGCAAAGCCCTAATTAGTTCAGTGAGTGAGTGAGATGCCCTGTGATCAGACAGACACCAGGTGAATGGTAAAGGAATGACTTAGCTGTAGAAGGCACCTGGGTTTTGTTAGTTAGTTAGATGTTAAACACTGCAAGTGTGTTGATTTGTTTGGGGATGGAACATTAAATGAACGGGGATAATGATATTTGGCACTGATAACTGACATGAGAGCCCATACAAGTGAGTACCCCCAGCCCTCACAGGATGGGCAGACCGGGTGCTCCTTGTGGCCCCCCCAAAAGCTGCCTTCACACCTCCTGAACCACCCCACCCCAAACCAGGACACCCCAGCAAGGCTTTGCTCCAGACCCTGCTCCCCTGCCCTCATCCCAGGGCATCCCATCCAGGGGAGGATGCTGCAGGCTCAGTACTGGCTCCCGCTGCATGTTGGGGCTCCTTGTGCACATCCATAACTCGTTCAGCAGGGCTATAAACATCCCCCTGGCTCCATGCTGGAGAACATCCCCGCACCTCAAACCAGTGGGACGGAGCCAAGCTTTGCTTCCTGCTCCCCACTGGGGCAAAGCTGACCCCAGGAGGGTCCCCAGTGGGGTTTGTACAAGCCCCTTTGCTTTCTCCTTTCCCTTCAGCCCGTCCCCTGTGCACATGTAGTTCAGCTCCTGGTACACCCCTGACCTCTCGCTATTGCCTGGCGTCTCTCCCTCTGGCGCTTGGCGTCTCCAGACGCTCTTTCTTCCCCCTTTCCTTTCACCAAAGAGCTGCTTCTCACCAGCCGCATCTTTGCAGCGAGCCTAATTAGACAGGAGCCTAATTAGAGCGGAGCAGGAGCGGTGAGTCATTAGCAGAGCCCTGTGGGAAGCCCCAGAGCAGGGGCCGAGGCATCGGGCGCTCGGCTGGGTGCTGTGGGAGGGAAGCAGCCCCTGTTTGTGTTGCGTGCATGGGTAATGCCTCCAGACAGTGACCTAGAAATGGAGCCATGGGGGGGTTCCCATCACCCTGCATTGGCTGGAGGGCAGAGCAGCATCACACTGTGAGCCCCAGTGCTGATGGGCTCAGGGGGTGTCTGCCCATCTGAGCCAGTGAAGTTAGAAACCGAAAGGGCTTTTCTTGGTGGCCCTTAAGCTCTTTTCTTTTTGTTTGGTTTCTATTCATCCCCTTTAATACGCAGCCATTCCCCACAGTGACACGGAGCCAGCATGCTGGGACTGGCTGAATGGAGAGGGATCCCTGCTGGGGTGGGAAGAGAGAGTAAAGAGAGAAGCAAAGGGCAGAATTGAGATGTTTTCTGTGACAGAGCCACAGGACCGGGGTTAGGTGTGATGCTGGGGCTGAGAGAAGGGATTCCTATTGGTGTTAAACCACATCCTGGCTGCAAGTGCCAGCAGCTTTCTCAAGAGCGCATCCTGGCATGGCCCTGGACCATTCCCTCCAGCCTCAGCTGGGCAGGAAGCGCTCCCCAAGAGAGCCAGAACTAACACAGGTCATTTGATTCCTGAGCTCTGTGGTCCCTGGGAGGAAAGAAAGGACACATTGGGTACCCAGGGTCAATCCCCTTGAGCCATTCCCTTATCTTCACTTGGAGAGGGGCACATACAGAGGGGTCCTTGTTTGTGATGCCTGTGGGACGCAGCCATGAGTGAGGCAGGGAGAGGGAAATGAGATGTCCAGGCACTGACAGTGTGAAAGCCAGGCTTTCTTCCACCTAATTGGATTTGTTACTCAGCTGAGGAGCGCTGAATGGCTCGGGTGGGCTCCGAGCCTGGGATTGCAGTGAGGAGGTGAGGATGATGCGGTAAAGTAGGTCACACTGCTGCAAACAGGGCTGATGGCTCTGCACAGCTGCCCATGGTGTTAAATGAGGAGGTGGTGAAATGGAAAGAGAAGGGAGATTGTAAGGAGGGAAGAATAAATGAGCTCAGTCTCTGCTGTTCATTCCCACCGGGAGCCGCTCCTGCAAGGTCCCATCTCGGGGCACGGGAGCAACAGGGATAGGGCCTGGCTGGTTGCAGGGAGCCGGGAGCAGTGATTTCTCCTGCTTTTGGGAGCTTAACTCCATTTCTGAGCAGTGTGGGGTGGCAGTTTGTGAGCCTGGACCCTCTTCAGTACTAAAACCTGCTGGGTTTATCCCAAGAGAGAAAAGGAATGGGAAAACAATTTGACATGGGACACAAGGAGAAAGTGTAGTGCTGCGGCATTAATTAATGTGCAGGAGATGACAAGCCAAGGACATGAGGCTTCAGTGCTCTGTACAGACACAGATGAATTTAAAAGCAGGTTGGATGGCTGGATAAAAACACTCCTTCACTTCAATTATGTGTTTAAAACGTGAAATGGATGGATGTGGGGCTTCCGCAGACGCTGGAGGTATTAAATCACCAGCTACTCTGCTTTTAATTGACTGTAGTGACAAAGGGAGAGCGAGCTTAGATGGTGATTCCCCGGAGGGCTTCATTGCACAATAGCATTATTTCAAGGGCAGCTGGGGTCAGGCTGGGAAAATGCATACTTAAAAATGAATGAGGCACTATGAGTTTCATTTAAATAAGACATAGGAGCAGCAGGATTTGCATCTGGGGAGGTTCAGCATGGTCAGTCCCTGCGGACACAGGTCCCGAGACCTGGGCTTGGAAGCGGTCTGGTCCCATCTCTGAGCATCTCCCTGCTCTCTCCTTCTTAAATCACTTTTGGAGTGTGAGAAGCCCCGTTACAGTGAACCAAGATGGACATTGCCCATGGGCAAGCACCATACTGGGCCAAGGGATGGGCTAAAGGGTCTGTGTCTTGTCCAAGCTCTCCTATGGGACTGCGTGGCTGCAGAAGAAGGCAGGAGCTAGGAGTGGGAACCAGTTTGCTGCCAAGCTTGGCTCTGAGCAAGGGCTGGACCCTTGCAGGACCCTGCACCTCATGGGGATCTCTGTGCCAGGTCCTGGCTTCCTAACACCCAACAGGGCGGTCTGTGGTATGTGGATGTATCCCAGGAGCCTGGGAATGCACAGCCCCTATAGCACCGACATACAAGACCCTTTCCCAAGTGCCCATCCCAGACAAAGCCAATCTTGACCTGCTGCAATGGGGAAAAGGCTTTTAAGAAAGCAAAACAAACCACGCTGACATTTCTTCCCAGTTAAAACCCATCCCTGCTCTGCCTGTAGCCTTATTCTGACTGTTCCATCTGTTTCCATCCCCTTTTGCTTCGTTGCTGCTAACCAAGAAACCTTTGTATTTTGCATCGCATTGAATTCCATAGCAACAGGTCGCTGCTGTGGCAGCAGCTGCTGATTGCTTTTGAATTGTCTTTCAGGCAAGCTCCAGAATAAACACAAAAGAGCAGGTCTTTGCATGGCTCATATCAAAGCTAGCCAGTGCAAAGCCTCCTAAGCTGCTATTTAAAGTCCCAGAGTCCCATCTAAAACCTGAATCAACAAAACTGAAAGGGATTTTATTCACACACTCCATTTTCCCCTCTCCTGCTCATCAAGCAGTCATTTCTACTCTTTGGTTTCCCAAAGGGCTCTTTAATGAGCTTTTTCTATGGCACTTTACACTCTTATCTGCCCAAATCACGTCGGATAATGCCGCTGCCCACCCAGCTCCCGCAGGCAAGGAGACATGTTCCGGTCTCCTTTATAGATGAGATATTCAGGCTCCAAATCCCTTTGAGACCGTGCATAACCCATAGGAAGCTTTGCTTCCCAAGCCCAGCAGCACCTGCAAGTGAGAGGAGGCAAATACCACTTTGCAAGGTGGTTGTGCTTTGCCCATTGGTGCCCATTAGCTGCTCCAAGTGATGCTCTCACACTCCCAGTCCTGAGCAAAGCTGGAGCTGTTGGTCTTGCAACAGTGAAAAGCCCAGCACCTTCCCAGAGCAGGGCTTGATCATTCCCCTGCTCCTCTGGGATAAGGAGAGATGCACATGGAGGGGAAGCGTGACCGGGAGCCCCAGCTGGAAAGCCCATCTCCCCTGTCAATGGGCCCCTTTCTTGGGAGCTGCAGCAGCCAAGAGAAGGCAAATAAGGAAAACAGAAGTACAAATTCTTCTCGTCTTCCTCAGGAACGACTGGCTTTCCCTGCAGGAGTAGCTGTGGCTGGCCTGGGCCCCTCAGCCCATTTGGCAGGTATTAGCGTTGCAGACTTGCAAGCTCTCCTACAGTCATGGCACGGTCAAGTTGAGTGAGAACAGCCGTGGAGAAGGAGACACGTGATGTCCTCAGGACGTGAGAAGCCCTGGGCTTTATTACCAGGTCTACCACTAACCTTGGACAAGACACTTGACATTGTGCCTCAGTTTCCCAAGCGCTGAAGCAATCATAATTACAGCCGGGCTGGTTGCTTAGGAGGTTGTTTGTGAACCGCCCCACTGAGTCCCAACCCTGTTATTATTCCTCATCCCTGTTATTAAACCTAAATCCAACTTGCTTAAGAATGAAGAGTCCTGTGAAAAGCACACAGACCGTTTCCCAGATCATCATTTTTATTAAAGTTCACAAGCAGCCGAAGGAAGAAAGAAAACACAAAGACTGGAAAATGTAAATAAACGTCACTCAGAGCATCGCAGGCTGGCTGCGCGCAACGTGTGCTCTTCCTGGCAGCGCTCGCTTGCTCCAAAAAGACCTTTGTTGTTTGAAGCTGTGTCAAGGCTTTTCATCGCATTGCATCATTCATCTGGCCAGGCTACAGCTCAACCTAATTCGGGGGCAAAAGGCAAGCCTGGAGCATCTGCAGGACCAGATCTGCTGCGGAGGGAAGCGGGATGCTGGGGCAGGCTGGTTGGTTGGGAGATTCATCCGTGTATCGACAGCCAAAATCCACGTGCGCTCCTCATCAGCGTGAATGAGGGACCACTCGGGCTGACAGCTCTCGCAGTGATGAACCCAAACAGAGTCAGCCAATGTTCATGGGTAACCTGGGGCAGCTACAGCCCAAGCGCTGGCAGGCAACACGCAGTCAGAAACGCTTACATCCCTCTGAGCTGAAGCCAGGATGTGCGGTGCAGCAGGAACAAGGAGGATTCCCACTCCAACAGCCCCGTGGTGCTCCCCTGCTCTGCTCACTAAAGGCACAATGCCCCTTCCCAAGGCTGTGTCTGCTCGTGTGCTAATTGCCCTTCACCCACGCTGCTGGGTGAGCACAGGAGCTCAGCAGGCCGGCTCCAAGCAGGCAGCCCAGGGTTTATCTGGTGACTATCTCGGCAGCGGTGCCGGGGCCTTGGCACGCTCTGTGCTCTTCCCAGCAGCTGCATGCAGGGAGCTGCCGGCCCCCGACAGAAGGGAGGGAAGAGGAGAAAAGAACATTAATAAGGCCCAAAGTGCAAAGCAGAAGGCACCTGCCCTGTTTCACTGCAGCACCCGGCGCTGCTGGCAGCCGGCCCGAGCTCCCACGCTTTAGTGTTTCAACAGCCATCGCCTCCATGGAGCAGCCAAAGGATGGGGAGCCAGGTGCTTTCAACCCTCTTTTCCCTTTAAAAACACTTCCCAGTCACCCAAACAGCAACTACAGCCAATGGCAAGTGCACTGCCTTTGAATAAAAGCTATTAATGTCTGCACCCCCCCAACCGTGTACCAAAACGCACCTAACGGCTCCCCATGCTGCTTGCTGAGGGATGCAGCCTGGTGCACATCCTCTGTCTCCCCAGTCCCATCAGGCCACTGGTACCCATGAGTGTGCCCGTGTCCAGCCCCAGCCTGGCAGCCAGTGGCTCCTTGCTGTCCCCATATCGTGGCTGGTGGTGGGGCTGGGTGGCCCTTGGTGCCCCCCTGGCGTGATGCCTCCCGCTCCTGGTGCTGGGAAGGAATGCAAAAGGCTCCTCAGAGTTGTGTGCAGGAGGACCAGCGGGGACTCAGTCACTGTGTCGGCTCCAGCAGTGAGACGGGGGATATGGATGTGGCATCTGGGGATGGAAAGAGAAAGGTCATTAACAGCAAGATGCCCGTGCAGGGAAGCACCAGAAAAGGGGTTGCATGTAGGCAGATACTGGGATAAGCACCACACTCTGAGATGGGTGAAGGAGGAAAGCAGGTGGTTTATTTGGGATGTGCTTTGCTTTTGTAGGAAAGGGGAAAAAATATTCAGCTGGGGAGGGCTCAGAGCACTGGAGCCAGCCAGGAAACTTCTGTGGACATAAGGGAATGAAAAGTTGTGGAAAATGGAGTTTTAGCTTTTTTATTTAGGGCAGGGAGGACAGCCCAAGAACTGGAACAGGCAAAACAAAAAGACCTCTTTTTCCCTCTTTTTCCACTGGTTCCTCCAACCCCATCCATAGGACTGACATTTCCAAGGGGCTGATCAATCCAGTCTGGGGCCTTGCTCAGACTGCACGTGTTTCCATCTGCCCAGGGTTAGGAAAAGCCTGATTTCCATTGACTTTCCTCCCAATGCTGCCTGATAAACTGGCTTCAGAGACAACCAGCCAAAGGAAAGAGCAGCAGCAGCAAAAAACTGCAGTCCCTGCTCATCCGGCCTCAGTATTATTACACATGCAAATGGGTTTTCCTAGGAGCCACCAAGGGAAACCAGCTGTGACTCCGTTCCTGTAACAGGTTGCAAGGAACCAACCCAGCAGCACACAGGTGAGCTGCAGTGATTAGGATCCTCATTACCCTGAGGGGTTTTTAAGCCCTGCTTGCAGGCACTTGGGGTTTTTGCATGGGAAGAAGCCTCTCTGCAAGCAGAGCTTTGTGGATGGGGCTGGGACTGAGGCACAGCAACACAACTCTGCAGCTCCTTCAGAGGTAAGTGCTGACCAAGTGTTGCTCCATGTAGATGGGAAGTCAAACCAGGCAGCAGTAAAATCCTCCTAGAAAAGGCTTGGTATCTAAGCTGTAATTGAATAGTCAGGTCAGGTCACTGAATGCATCCAACACTCAGTGTGACCCCAGTATCAGAATACAGCTCTGGGCATGGCTTGCTGCCTGAAGCCTTGCAGGAGCTTTGGAGGCAAAGTTCAGCTTTTAGGTGCCACAAAAGCCTCAAAAACCTGCAGCCTTGGCTGCTTGATGCCCACCCAAGGGCAGGTACCAGCTGCTGGTGCCACCTCACAGGAGCAAAACCGACCAATGGACACAAGTGGGAGCCACAAAATGGGCTCTAAGCATTCAGATGAGTCCCAGCATAGATGCCTGAGCAATGCCTGACCACCAGGCTCTATGAGGAAGGTCCTGCAGGAGCCCAAAACCATCAGGATGTGAACCCCTGGCTCCTACCAGCCTTGGGGTTGCTACAGATGGGTGCTACATCTCCACCCCAGCGGAGTATTTGAGGCTCAGGAGGCAGCACAGAGGGATGCAGGGGCTCCCCTCTCTGTTTCCCCTTCCCTGGCTGGACCATGCAATCTGCAGCAACCACCCCAACCCGAAGCTGATGGCTCATCTCGCTGGCTCAAGCCCATCTGTGACTCTGCCCCATGAAAATGAGAGCACCCCATAGGACTGGTAGTTCGGAGAAGCCACATTTAATTTGGAGACAGGCAGCTTGAAGAACCTGTTCCTGGCATCACCTGAAGTCACTTCCTGGGAGGTACAGACTTGTCCCCATCAATGGGCCCTGCACAGGACTGCAGCAGTGACCAGCCAGCATCATTCCCTGCTGGGATGTCCTGGCTGGGCTTTGCTTGTTCCTATGAACACAAAAGGGTCTCTTATTTCATTTTTGTCAGGATTAACCTCCTCGTGGCCCCAGCTCCATAGGTGGGAGGAGACCAGGTTTTCATGTTGCATATTGCTAATCATGCTTGATGCCTGGTGTTAACTGCAGGTAATAGGCACTAAATTAGTGTCACACAGCATCCTTGGCAGGGGCCCTGGGACCTCTGCTGAAAGGTGCCCCAGCTCCAGCTGGGAAGGGTGAAGGCCATGGCCTCAAGGAAACACTTCCAGCTGATCAGCTTTTGCATTAAATGAAAAGCAGGCTTGGTTTATGATCCACATTTGTCAAGGATGTATTATTTGGGTTTCAGGGCTGGTATAACTGCAGCCTCACCAGCTTATAGGTAAGAAGGCTGTTTTTTTTATGAGTACAAAGTGTGATTTCCTACCATGTAACTGCCCAGACCTCTCCCCACCAACCCAGATATCTGTGCTCCGAGGGCACTTTGGATGGTCCCTCCTGAGCCTTCTCCAGCTGAGGCAGGTTTCCCATAGGATTGGCATTCTTAAAGCACACCAGAACCTGGGCATGTGCTGGCCAACCTGCCTTCCTGAAGAAGGATCCCATAAAATGCATGTTGCAGCAGAGACTTTACACAGTGAGGGCTGGAAGACAGAAGATGCCCCAGCCAGACATGCTACAGGATGACGGGGTCTTTGTAGGACCCTATAGGCAATTACCCCAGTTTCTAAGCCCAGTTTTGGCACTGGTGCAGCCAGGACAGGCAAGGCATATGGGACATGGCTGGTGAAGCATGGGCAATGCGTGCGCATGGGAGACATTTGGATCTGGCCTTCGCTCATCCATCTTGGTGCTTTATTTAAGGAGCTGTCACAGTGGCTGCAGCCATAACAATCACTTCACTTAAACCCCAACAGCACAAAACCTCTAGAAACTGACAAGAAGAAACACTGTTTGGCAAGAACTCATGTATATTTTAAATACTTCTTTTAACCGAAGAGTGGAAGCGAAGCCAAAAAAGCACATAAAGCCCTCACACAATGACTTTTCACCAGTTTTATTTGCAGGTTGACATATTACAGTTGCTGGTTTTCTTGTGCTTGTGCCAGATTCCAGATTACATGGGGAAAAAAGCTATCTATACAACCCCCACAAAGCTATTTATTAGGTCCAGAGAGCCCAGATAGATTATAGAGGAAAAAGGGTAGGAGAGGAAAGTAAAATCTCTGCGGCTTTGGAGACTGCTTCTTCTTCGGTGGCTGAAGAATCAACTCCCACCTTCAAATATTCTCTATTCCTATTCCCAGCAGCATGGCTGGTGTTGAGCTTTAATATTCAGACACATCTGCTACCAGAGAAAATTAATTTTCAGCTCTAGGATGGCTCTTAAAGGGGGGTCCTATTGACCCGAGTTGAAAATGATGGAGTCCTCGCACTCTTCGCTGCAATATTTAATAGCTGAGTGGCAGTTAATTAGATTACCAAGCCACTGTGACAGATGCTAGGCAATGCCTGAGGAGGAGAATTTGGAAAGGCCATTATCTTTCAGTGCTGGGAAAGCTCTCAGGGATCGCATTTTAACCCTTTCCACTCCTGCCCTGCCCTCACTGTGCTCCAACCCATGTTAAACCCAGGTGTTCCACAAATCAAAGGCCAGCATAATGCTCTGGGTGCTTTTTACTTCCCACCTGAGCAAAGCAGATGGTCATGCTGGGCATATGCCTGGCAGAGGTGCCAGGAGCTCCTCCTCGGTTCCCAGCTGGCATCAAAAGAGACGATCAGTGGGAGATGCCAGTAATTTCCCCCACGGGGTGATTCCCAGGCACACCAACCACACCAAGCGGGAAGCAGGGAAGCGAGAGGGTGTTAGAGGGTTTGGGCAGCATTCTTTCTTCCCTGTATTAAGTGAAGTGGATTTTGATAAGCCTATGAAGAATTCCCCTCCCCACACTCCCTGTTTTCCAAATACAACCGTAAGTGAAGCCCTGTACACATGGGTTTTCCAGCTCCTTCAGATGTAGTCTCCAACCACCAAAGCAGGGCTCTGCGTTGCTGGCACTGTGAAACCTGCAGATTGAGCTAGCAGAGGTGTTACAGACTTCCTGGGAAGATGATGCTACCCAAGTGTTGCCCTTATCAGTGTCTGCTTTCACAATGTAAGGTGAGAAGAGTTTTTGGCCTTTGCCTGGCCAGCTGCATCTCAGCACAGATTGGTGAAGGCATCCAAAGCTCTGGAGTGAAACTGGTAACCAGAATGGCAACCAAACATCCCACTGGGAAGGAGAGAGAAGGAACCGACAGCCCTGTCCCAGTGGCACTGCAAGAGCACCTCCCCTGACCAAGCACCAGAATGAGATAGGGCATCATGAGATTCCACCAACTTTCTTATTCTCACACACCCCAAGACACCGATAAACACATTCTTCTTCTTCTGGTTACAAAACCCCTTCCCTCCCACTCAGATCTCACACAGAAGTCTCAGAAGTTCTGATTTAACAAGCAACCATTTGGATATTAAATAAACACGAGGACCATCAAATGAACCGTAGCTCCTAAGCTGTTGCTTCTGCTACCCACTGAAATGTAAATATAGAGCATAAAAAGAGATCAGGATCTGCTGGCATCCCAAGGGTCACTTGCCTACGGATTCATCAGCTCCAAGTAAGTTACCCAGATACTGTGTAAAATTTTGAACTACTGAGATTTTGTCCACTTTTTGCCCTAGTATCTCCCAGAACTCAAATGCAAGTGCTTTTAGGAACCTTAACTCCCTCAACTGCATGGGGACAGGGTATATTCCACGGTGACAGCCACAAGAGCAGTTGTGGACACATCTACCCTCTGCTACCCACCCACCAAAGGTGGTGCATCCAGCTAGCTTGGAGCAGAGGGAGAGGAGCTGTGGCCTCCTTGCAACCATCGACGTAGACGTGTCTCTTAATCTACTGGAAGGATCATCTGGAAACAAGAGAAACCTGGGAGCAACATCAAAGAGCAAATCACTCTTTTCTGGAGCTGCATCCCACCTTTAAGTGTACCTTCTCATAAACTATGAGCAACATGGAACGCATGGCTTCGGCATGGTGTGTGCAGACACAATTGAGGCGCACAAAAGATAGCAAAATGCACTTTTAGAGGAGGAGACCCTTACCTTATTGACCTCCTGGATACAAGCCCCCGTGCCCTGACCCTCATCATGATGGCAAGTGCTTCCAGGTGCTGACAAAAGCTGTGGGGATGAGCGAGTAAGGCACTGTTGTGATACAGTTCCATGTGTCTGACGTAGGGTCATAGCAGTCCAGCGTTTTGCACCTCTGAGTGCCAAAGTAACCCCCCACCACATAGAGTTTATTCCCCGAAGCCAAAGCATGGCACGACATGCGCTTGGCTGTCATGTCCCCAATGCGTGTCCACTGGTCCGTCTCGCAGTCGAAGCGATAGGCAGAGGCTGCAGTGAACTCGGTGTCTCCTCCCATGATGAAGATCTGGCTGCCCAGGACAGCGGCTGCTGTGTAGCGCCAGGGCTGTGGGCACTCGGCTTTGATCATCCACCGGTTCTCAGCTGGATCATAGCACTGCACTTTGGACACCATGTCTCGGTGAATGCTGGTCCCACCAAAGACAAAGAGCTTGAGCCTGGCGCTCACCACCGCAGCGTTGCTCACTCCATCTCGCAAAGGAGCCACCATGGTCCATTTGTTGGATATGGGATCGTACTTCTCTACTTGCTTCAAGGAAACTGAAGGAGACGCAGGGAAGACTCCAGCTACCGCAGTGTGTCCACCAACCACATACAGGCAGTTTTCCAGCTCAGCTGAGCCATGTCCAAACCGAGCTATTAACATTGGGGCAGCTTTTGACCACTCTTCATGAACTGTATCATACACCCATACATCTTTCGAGACCCCGTTCTCCGAGCCCCTGCCTCCAGTGATGTATACTTTGCAGCCGATGGCACAAGCACTAAACTCCTTCCGTGGACTCGGCAGGTCTGCTTTGGGGATAATTTCCTTTGCTTTGTGGTCCACTTGGTAGATCTTGTCACACATGAAGGTCTGTCCTCCCAGGATCAGCAAGGTGTGCCCAGCTTTGCGAGGCCTGGCACAGGGACTGGTGACTACCCCATCGTTCTGGAGGATCTTCTTTTTGCACTGAATAGCTTCGTCCAAGACAAGCTTGTTCCTTTCATCCACCATGATCAAGTCCTCACAAGCCAAAGCTTCCTTGAGGCATTCAGAAGGAAGCAAGGCCAGACGAACGTTCCTTAGAAGTTCTGGGAGATAAGCCTTCCGCTCATCCAGATCGTATTTTACCCATTGGATGACAGCCTTAAAGACCTTTTCTTCATCCTCAATTTCCAGCTCATCGCTGGAGATGAGGTCCAGCAGAGTGTCCTTGGAAAGGTTGTTGAAGTCCTCGCTCTTGTGAACAGTCTCAAAGTTAACCAGGCACATCCTCCAGGAGAGCTCATAGAGCCGGCGGCACTGGTGAGCATCTGAAAGCAGCATCATGCCCAGGCAGTTGGAAGGGTAGAGGTTCTTCTCCAGGAACTCAGCTGCTGCATCTCGGACATCATGGAACTGCAGCATATCTCCAGCCTCCAGGAGGGACTCAGCGTTCTCCTCATTGATGATGATCCGAGAGGAATAAGCGAAGTCCAGCAGTAGCTCCAGCACCTCTGGGTGGAGGCTGTCATGGAAGTTCACCTCATCGTCCAGGCTCTCCCGGAGCCCATTGCTAAACATGGCTTCGAAGTATCTGCTGGAGGCAGCCAGCACTGCCCGATGACATGGGAATGACCTGTTTCCTGCCCAGAGGGTGACGTCGGTGAACATGCAGTGCTTCCGCAAGGTGTTCAGATGCGACAACACGCAGTCCGGGTGGGAAGCTTTGTGAAAAAGCAGGATGTTCATGGAGCCGGTGCTCGTCCGGGATTTACGGTTCTCGTGCACGCTGACTGACATGATGACAGAGCTCTTGCCTGCAGAGAGGCAAACAAGAAAACCATTAGTCTTGTCCTTACTCGTCTAGGCCATGGAGAATTGATTTATTTGCAACCCAACCCTGGTACGCTGCCAATGGACCTCAAACATGAAGCACCTGGTGACATCTCGGTGCTCCTGTACCCGGGCTTGCAAAGCCCATGCCTCCTGCACCCCACTTTAACTCACACTGAGCAGGGTGGGAAGGCAGCGTAGGGTGAAGGGAGAAATTCTGCACTTGGGTTTCAGCAATGGAGCAACAAAGTGAAGTAATCAAACCCCATACTGGAGGGTAAATTGTCTCAACAGCCCCTGGAGGTATTGGCAAACCGCAGCAGAGTTATTTTTCCTTAGAAAACAGCATTAAGAGAGCAAACTATCCAGGATAAAGGGCATCAGTCTGTTCTTGGCTCAGAAGAAATCAAGCTTGGCTTCTGATTTTCCTTAAGATTACTGCTGGTTTAGGAAAGGCAATGGCTACAGGTTTTATTTATGGAATATTTGGCTACCAGCACAAGATGAAAGTTTGGAGCGAATTATAGCAATCCCTTTCATTGTAGTTTCTGTTGATAAAACTCACCAGACACTTCATGTGACTATAACATTCTGCAGGACAGATTCACATCAGAGAACAAGACAAAAGAGACAACTAAATTACACTTTTTAACAGACAGGCAGAAGGAACCACAAGGCTTTTATTAGCAAATATTTAATTTAAGTGCTACCTGATACCTATTCTTCCCCATAGAAGAAAACCCCTTTGGACCCATCAAATTAATACTACTTAGATGATAAAATCCAAGTCATTTACTCCAAAGTATTTCAGCTGCTCAATTTTGTTCCCCATGTAACTAAAATAGACTGACAGATATGAATACAGGCTCTGTCCCAGGGGTGTTTTGGCACTCAGGGCAGGGAGGATGCTGTGTGAATGCCCAGGAGCATCAAGGGCTGACAGCCTCAGCTCAACACAAGGGGCAGCCATAAAAAATGGCTACAAGCTGGGAAAAATGGGCCTAATTCATAGAAAAAAGGAGTTTGAGAAACACTATCCAGCTCTGCTGCACCTACTCTTTAACCCAATGCTAACTTTCTATCCCCTTTCTACCTTGTCTTCTCCAAACAACTGCAGTTTTGCTTTGCAAGCTGGAGGCACCAGGGCTGAAACCCCACAGCATCCTGCTCCAGCCACCTACGTGTTTAGAAATCAGTAATCAGTCACACAGATATAGTTGGGGAAGGGTTTTTTGCTTGTGTTCTTTTTGTTGCTACTGGTTGGTTGGGTTTTTAACTTGCTCATCATAGCCCAAAGGTTCTCAAGGGTCTTTCTCATCTAAAAGCACAAGGTCTATGGATTAGTCCTGTCCTGCCCAGATGGGTTGAGCTCACCACCACTCAGTCCTGGGGGAAACCATGGAATGCTGAGAGAGCAGACACAACACACACAGGCTGCTGACACGTCACAGCCTTGACCTGGTGGAGACCTGCATCCGCACAACCCTCCCATGCTCCATGGATGGATAACCTCAAGCGGAGGTGGATGGCCAGATAAGCTGCCTGACTCATGCTCTATTCACGCATTTCCTACCCCCTGCTTCTCCAGCATCTCCAAAAGAGTCTAAATTCAACAAATAGTTGTGGGCACGTCCCTCCTTCCCAAGGCGCTGCCATGAGTTATTGAGGTTGGTCTTGCTGAGGCCTCACTCATTCCTCAGGGCTGTGTCACAGCCCTGGGAAAAGGTGTTTCTGTGCTTCCTTGTGCATAGAGAAAGCTTGCCCAAGCAGCCACAACTCATACTTGTCCGTCGAGCCAGGCAGGAGCACTGGCATGGTTACTGATGTGCATGCTCATCACCAACATCTCTGCAGCTTGGCACTGAGGCCGTCAAGCTCATTTTGCTTGTGATCAGAAGCTGCACAGCAACAAGGCTCTAAAACAGGAAGGAGAATGCCATTATAGAGCTGCACTTTGATGTACATCTGAAGGAAATGGTTTTCAACATCGACACCCAGCATAGGGACAACACTAAGAGGTTATATGGATTCCCATGTCAAGGCTCTATAATGCCAAAGTGAGGAATACAAATGAAACATTTATGAGTCTGCTAAAAGCTATTGATTTAGGTTTCCTATTCCCACAACCTCAGAAACCACCTTGCCACTGCTGCTGCTTTCTTTGCTCGCAGCTCAGGTCAAGCTATTCAATCTTAACCTTTGATTTGCTTATGCACAAGAAATGAAGCAATTTATATAGGACAGCTATGGAAACAAACAAAAAGATTGCAGGAAGGCAGCCTCATTTTTTTCTGACACTAAGATTAGAAAAGCCACTACTCAGAATGGAAGGAGGTAATTTAGAAATTGAAAATGTCTATATAAAGCTGCAGCTGAGCCATCATACACACACACACACACACACACACATATATATATAAAAAATCTCAGGCTTCTAACATCAACCATGTTGCCCAGGGCACTGGGTAACCAAATAATATTTCTATCCAATAGGTACTGAACAGTATCCAGGGAATAAATTGGCAAGTTCCATTCCAGTCCCCATCAGCACTGCTCTTCATACCACCCTGCCCTAGTACAGGCACCAACTGGTCCCCAGTACAGCTTCAAGCCTGAAAGCCAGAGGCCACAGCCCCTTTACTTGGCCTCTTCTGGAGCTGGGTTAACAATGGATGTCACTGGTCACAGATCAGCAGAGCTAGACAGACCGTTAAACTGGAAGTAAAGCAGTGTCTGAACAGTGGTGTGCAGTCACCTCACCAGCAATAGGCTTGCTGGTGGCTTTTGGCAACTTCAGACAGCTTGTTTTGAGGGTTTCTTGAGTCCTGCCATAGCTGGGCACAAGCAGAAGTGGCAGGTATAATTCTTCCCCTCCCAAACACACCCCACTGCATCTCTCAGTCTACAGGGAACTTGGCATCATCCCACCCATGTCAGATAAACAGAAACTGCAGGCAGCAGCTATTTCATCCAATGGGCTCCTTCCAAAAAATCTAGCAGCCTTCAAGTCTGTAACTAAAAGGACCTTCTACACTTCTCATGATGTGCTTAAATGTGTGCTTCAGTCTAAGCAATGTTTTAACTGCAGTGGCAAATGGGCTGAACTCATGACATGCTGTTATAGGCACTTCTCTGTAGCAGATGCATGCAGAGCAGGATTTGGTCACTACCGCATTCCCCACTTCCCTTACCAGCCACTGAGCTTAGAGGGAAAAAACAGAACCACTCTGAATAAGGAGTGTTTTATACAAAGAAACCTGTCAGTGGCTCCTGCCAAGCTCCCACCTGCTCTGTGAAAGCTCAGGGGGTTATCAGAGTTTCCAGCTGCATCTTCCATCATGCAGGAACTGTGAGCAGACACATCAACGTGAACAGCAGGAGGCATGACCTGAAAAAACTGAGGCTTGGATTTTTCCATGCTCCATTCTTTTTCTTTTTGCCTTTGAAAGGAAGTTATTGAAAAAATAAGTATCTACTGAACAGCCTTTTAGGAGGATCTTACAGCAAGCAGCAGCAGATGATAACCCTTCTATATGGGTGAGGGCAGAGGGGCATCAGTGCTTTGACAGCTATACAATACTGGCTGCTGGCTACAGTATTTTCCTGGCTGTCTGCAGCCTTTGTACACCAGGGAAAGACAGAGGTTTTTCCAGCATAGTAAGATAAGGGTGCTTTGGAAATCCTTCCATGCACGCACAGAGGGAGGACGGCAACCCCAAAGGAGTTAGCTCAGGGAGAAAAGACCCCCTTGAATCAAAGCGCATGAAAAAACCACCTCAGCAAGATTCTCTGGACAGGAAAAGCTGGCAAAGAGAAGACAAGGGGAAAAACAAAACCTCAGAGCTGGCCAAACTCCCACCCAAACAATGGCCACAGTTCTCCCCTCTGAGCATCTCCTGCTTCCTACAAACCATGCCCCCAGCAGAAGGCTGACCCTCGTGGGCTGGTGGGTGTCCGTGTCAGAGCTGATGCTATGGATCACTTAGGAGAACCTTGTTCTATTACCTCTTGAAAATTCCAAGCAGCACTTAGGAGTCCTACACTTTGAAGCTGTATGAGGCCCTGGTCCACAATCACAAAAGGACTGCTTGGTGGTGACACATGGACCATATTTAGCTAGGCTTGGGGTTCTCCTTCCATCTTAAAACAGCAAGCCATCCACAAATCTCCAGTTATTCACTATCTGGAGAGAATCAACAGCTGAGATGCTGCTTCCTTTCAAGAGGACAGTACTTGAGCATGAATAACATGTTCCCCCATGGGACGTCAGGGGATCAAGGATCATTTCTGCTTAGAAAGGCAAAACTACAGGATTTATAAGTGTTCTCCCAGCACCGTGAAGGTTGGCTAAACACCCAACAAAGAGCCTAAATCCCATGAACTGAAGCTGGCACCTTCTGTTTGCCAATCAGACTTTCAGAGAAGCAGCAAGCAGAACCCGTTCCTTTTTGCTCTGCTTAGCCATGAACTATTTAAAGCTGTAAATAAGTAAATAAATAAGCACTAAGGTTCCCTGCTGGCTCAGTTCAAAGGAGAAGCTGCTCACGCCGCAGTGCACATTCATTCCCAAGCAGTCCCTCCATGGATGTACTGCACTACAACCCACAGCCACCTCCTTCCAAACCAGAGCAGACCCAGCTCGAGCAGAGCAATGGCTGCTTTCACAGGGAGGCAGGCATAAGATTAACTCTTATTTTCTCTCCAGTTTCCCAATATCAACCCTTTGGGGTTAAATGCCATCCAGAATTCAGCCAAAGTTCAACTTCTCCCTGGAACCGGTGGGACAAATTCTCTGTCCATTTGGAACACGCCTGCTCCCTCATCCCAAATATCTGTACCTTTCCAATGCCTTCATGGACTTCACCACCTTGCTGCTTAGGCCAGCAGCATCATTCCAGGACAAAATTACTAGTATAACACCAATTTCCCCCTTTTTATTGTACAGAGTAGCAAGCTAGAACCCTAAAGTCATCTACTGTGTTGT